CTGCCGGCACAACTGGAATGTCCTCTGTGACGACACAGGCGAACTCTCGGCACACACAGGGAGCCCTGCCCCTGCCTGCCTGCTGGCCCTGCACTGTGGGGTCAAGAACCAGAGGGACTTCTTGTCCCCCAAACAACCTCTGCTTCTGCTGGTGTGGGCAGTAAACAGCATATGGCATCGGCGCCCCACCTCTCTGAGCCTCCCCTGGGGAGCCTGGAAAGATCATTGGCTCAGCCTGGGCCTCAGTTTCTGCCTCCACAGCAGCAGTGGTTCCAGTTGACCCGTCCATGTCTCAGAAGCATTGGTGGGGTGGGCAATGAGACCAGTGGAGAGGAGCTGGGAGTGGGTGCTGTGCCTCAAAGTATGCCACTTCTGCCTCCTCTCTTGGGCGCCCAGAACCCAAGTTCTGCATGGAGTTTTAGCCTGAGCAGCTTGCAGCTCCCTCTTGTTACCTCCTTTCTGGTCCCAGGTATGTCGGGCGAATGCAGGTCCTGTGGGTCAGCTTTGCCTTGCACTGCCTCCCCTGGTTTGATTGACTGCACTGGCCACCTCTCTATTCCACTGTCGCTAGAGAAAACAGGTCATCTCCATCTAGTCCAGGGCCCTCATTCATCTCTCACACCAGTGGGCGCTGGCTGGGTGTGAAGAGGTCTCTTGGCCTCTGTAGTCATAACAGTGACTCCTGAATGTTCTCAGTCCCTCCCATTGGGTCCCTGCTGGGTGTCCCATTAATAGACTTTAGTTTTCCTTTTGGAAGAGCCTGTTGGGTCTTTGGCTCTGGTCACATATCAATGAGGAGGGGAGATTGGTCCCCAAACTTGCAGCAGCAAGCTCAGGTTCTGACGTGCAAGTGTGCAGGGGAGAAGGCCAGCAGGGGGCTGGGGCCAGACGCTTGGCAAGCTGTCCCCCAGCCTGGGCTTTCTCTCCAGAGCCCTGAGGACAGCTCCTGCCCACACCTGTGGCTGTCTGCACCTCTCTGAGCCTCAGCTCCTTATCGATAGAGGGGGGTGATAACAGTTCTGGCATCTCTAGATCTGTGAAGCTCACAGGAGATAACCTATGAAAGCCTGTGAGTGCACGGTCCCCAACTCGTCATCTGGCGTCATCCATCCTTTCCAGCTAAACCAAATCAGACCACTCAGCAGGGTGTGTGTGTATGTGTGTGTGTGTGTGTGTGTGTGTGTGTGTTTGAGAAAGAAAAGAGAAACTCTGCCCATGACCTCAAAACTTAGAGATCAACTCGTAAGTCCTCAAAATATTGCCCCCACCCCCACCCTATATGTGAGTTCAGCCTGGAGGTGCATTCTTCCCTCCTCTTCACTGCTCTACAAAGTGTTCCTTGAAATCTCCCCAGTCACTCCTCATTCAATTCCCCTCATTTTACAGAAGAGGACATGGGGGAGGTCCAGGGGAAGGAGCTGACTTGCTCACTGCCCCCAGTAAGTCAGAGCAAGACTAGGACAGAAACCCAAATCCTGGCCCCTGACTCTGAGTAGGGTCTGCCTCAATGTAGCTGGCTCTGGGTTGGGGGACGGGGGTCCCAGGACGGCGCAGGAGAAGCAGGGAGGGGGTCAGGAGGGCCACTTAGAGGGAAGGTCCCAGGTTCCCTGCACCTTTGGACCTGGCAGCCCAATCAGAAGATGTGGATGAGAAAACCAAAGCATCGAAGCTGGCTGGGCTGGGCCTTCCCTCTATGACCTCCTCCCTTACCCCTCCCCATTGCACAGAGGGAGACACAGACACCCAGAGACTTTGGGCATCCGGCCCAGCTCACCCAGGGTGTGACTGGCAGAGCAGGGATCCCCTACAGTCAGCCGTGTGAGCCTGGTCACCCTGCCCAGCCCTGCCCTGCCCATTATGCTGAGTCCCCAAGGTCGTGGGGAGAAGAGAGAGAAAAAGGGGTGTGGGGGCACATGGTCCTTATGGGGTGCAGGTCTTTGGGTTGGCCTCCCCTGCAGTAGCAGAGCTGTACACAAGCACATGCACCAGGAGCCCCGGTGCTGCTGGCTGGCTGTACACACCCCTTCCTGCCAGGTTGATAGGAATGGGTGTGGCAGGTGATAGGACAGGAATGCCCACACCTTTGTTTGCAAGGCTGTCTGCCCTGCCTACCAGCTCCCCCTCTTTCCCCACTGCCCCACAGGTCAGGGAACTCCAGAGGGCCACAGTCCATGGGGTCACCTTGGGCAAGTTGTTTCTTTCCCCGAGCCTGTTATCTGCTCTGTGATGAAGAATCACAACACCCAGCCAGCAGCACGTCTGTGAGGCCTGAATACAAATCAAAGGCACCAACAGATGTAACAGGGCCTGGCGCGCAGGCTGGGATCCATGACACCCACTGGGTGGTGTTATCACCCAGGGCGTGTGTGCACTGGAGTGTGCATGCGTGTGTCTGTGTAGTCACGGGAGAAGGGAAGAAAATCAAATAATCGACGACTTATTTGGGGGCAGGCATTTTTTTGAGAGAAATACAAGTTTGAGTTGCTTATTGTAATAAATTAATAGAGATGATAAGACTTAAAAATCTGTTTTTCAACTAAGGTACATTGCATAACAGTCAGATGTCTCTTGGATGTCCGGGTAGATGCTGGGTAGTGGGACAGAGGATGGGGGAGACAGAAGAGGGCTCACCCCCTGGGGAGGGGGGCAAGAGAATCACTGGGTGATAAGCCAGGGGCTGGGAATGACCCTGTTAGGGGGCTGAGGGGAGGCAGGAGGTGCCTGACCTCCGTGTCATTTGCAGCAACTGGAGCTTTCCACTGCTCACATAATCCTCAGAGTACCCCTGTGTTCTGCATTTTGAAGACAAGGAAACGGCTCACAGAAGTGAATGACCTTCCTTCTAATTCCCAAGTGCAGGATCTGATGACCACCAAGCTTTGTGATTTGCCACCAAGAGCCCACTGGGTGTGTGTGTTGGGAGGAATGAATGGCCGATAAAAGCAATCCACCTCTTCATCTTTTTATAACTTGAGCAAGAAAAAGGGGAGGGAAGGAAGAACTGAGAAAGGAAGTCACAAACACCCACTCTCACTCTCACTCACACACACACACACACACACACACACACACACACTGCTCATTTTTAGAGCATGGGTGGGATTCTGAACGTCTATAATGTTTTTTCTTGTCAAGAGCAGATGAGCAGCTGTTTGTGTTCCTTCAGCTGCTCTTTACGCTCTGAGCCCCAGGAGCACTTTCCTGCCTGGGACAGCCCACTAGGATTGAAACTCTTAGACCATCAGCTGCCCCCCACCCTGCTGTGCTCCTGTTGGGGTCCCACACTGCTGCTCCACAGCCCCGCCTCCTCCTTCCCTGGCCCAACTCAGGCTTCCTCTCTGGCCTGCCTTTCATGCCCCCGGACACGTGGCTGCCCACCTGCCCCAGGAGGGGCCTCCCCTTCCCACCCTCCAGCCATGTCCCCCACACTGCACTCCACTTCTAGGGGGTCTCCGGAAAGGACATAGGCCTTGAAGTCCCTATGGAATGGCTTCAATGTCAGGATGACCTTGGGCAAGTTGCTTAGCTGGCCTCAGTTCCCATGTCTGTGAAATGGGATCTGAGGGGTCTCGGGCGCGCTGTCTGAGATAATGTCTAGCAGGTGACCAGAGAAGACATTCACAGGCATGGTCACGCAGGAAGTCACGCACGCCTTGATGCAGGGTTTCGTTCTGAGGAGCTCATATGCTCGCACAAGCCTACAGGGCGAGTCTCCTGCACCCAGGTGGTGGCGGTAGGGCTTATTGAGACTATGTGAGGTCTGTTGTTGCCCAAATGTGTGACTGGCTCAGTCTCCAGATGTGCCCAACACTGACCCATCTATGAGCACCTTTACCTCCTGATTCACTTGAATAAACACAGTAAACCTGAGGGGAGATCACTATTGATTATATTCTTGAATATTCCTGAAGCAGACAGTGGCCAGAGATAGCAAATGACTTTTCTAAAGCCACACGGCAAACGAAGAGGGCCGGTGCCAGAATCCAAGCCTCCGGCTCTAACCATCATGAATGCACCACTGTCAACCTGCTGCTACTGCTGATGTGCAGAAGACAAAATGGGGGGCTCCAAATCCCCCAAGATTTGAGGGGAAGTGCTGACCATAGCTGCTCTGGGCCAGGCCCAAGGACACAGCCTTGGGGGAGGGCAGTGGAAGTGTCCTTGAGGAGTGGATGCCTGAGACAGAAGCGCCTTCTAGGCAAGTGGAGAGTGGAAAGGCACCTCAGAAAGGGACTGGGAGCATGGCAAGGTGTGATAGAAGGAGACCTGGCCCACAGGGGAGCCAGAGGAAGTAGACTGTGGCAAAATGGTGTCGAGAAGGGTGGCCATGGTAGACATCATGGAGGGCCCTAAATGCCCACTGGGCAGCCTTGAGTTGGCTGCCAGGCAGTGGGGAGTCTCTGGAGGAGTTCTGAGGGGCATGGGCAGCAAGACCCAGCCACATGCCACTGGCAGCAGGGTGAAGGATGGGGCAGAAGGGCCAGGGAGGGCAGGAACCAGGCAGGATGATGGCCAAGTCACTGCTACAGGCTGGGCACGGTGGCTGGATAGCAGAGGGAGGCTGAAGAGGAGCACACCATTGAGAGATGAGAGATGGATGGGCAAGAATTGGGTCTGAGAGGATGGGTTGAGGGTGAGGGGAGTAGAGCAGGTGAGAGTGCCGCCGGAGGGTCTGGCCGGGTGTGGGATTGTGCCTTTTATGTGGGTGTGCACCCGCCACGGACAGGTGCTTGCTGGGAGGAGCAAGATAAGAGGGATGAGTTGGCCGCGTTTGTGCCTTTGCAGTGTTGCCAGAGGAGAGACCTGAGCGGGCAGCGCAGCTAAGAAGCCTGTCCACCGCTCGCCTAGGAGAGGACAGCTACAGCCAGTTCTGGGTCAAAAGCGGGGTGCTACAGAAAAGAGGCGCGCCGAACAGTATGCCAGAAGTCAACGGACCAGGAGTAGGGAGATCCCTGCGGGCGTCTGGGGCACCAGCCCTCCCGCTGGGAGCGCTCACTTACCTGCTGCCCGTAGCCCAGTGCCTTTTCGTAGAGCGCAACTCCAGCAGCCAGCACCCGGGCGTGTTCCTCCAGGCTGGCGCAGCCCACGTCGAAGCCGTGCGCGTAGCCCTGCTCCGCCAGGCAGCGCGCAGCGCGGAGCTGGACGGCCCCGCCGGCCTCGGGGTCGCTCTCTGGGTCCATGAGGCCAGCCAGCCGCTCCGCACATGCCTCCTCCTCCTCCTCCTGCCCCAGGCGCCCGTAGACTTGGGCCAAATTGGCCCAGGCGTTGAGGTTGCCCGGGTCCTCACAGACCACCTCGAGGAAGAGCTCACGAGCCTCTTCCAGCTCCTCCAGGTAGAAGGCAAAGGTGCCCAGGAGGTGGCGCACCGCAGGGCGCTGAGGGGTGGTCTCCACCTCGAGCTCCTGCCGCAGTCCTTCTCGCTGCAGCTTCAGGTCCCGGGCGCGGAGCGAGGCCGGCGAGCGAGGCTCGAAGTTCACCTGCATCTCCAGGTGGAAGTGGCCCGGGAGGTAGTCCAGGTTGTCGATGAAGGCGTCCAGGTCCTCGGCGGCAGCCTCTGGCTCCCCCATAGCTGCTGCCGGGTCTCACCCTTATCCCAAAGGTTGCGAAGGGCAGTGGGGAGGGTCCCCCTCCCCCCTCCCACGCCGCTAGCCCTGCGCAGGCAGGCAGCGAGGGTCAAATCACAGAAGCCCAGCGCGCAGGTGCCTACGGTTCAGGGGCACCTCCAGTCGGTGGGTGGATCCAGGTAGACGCCTGGATCCACCTGTGGGTGTTTCCGCTTTCGCTGCTCCGCGGCTTTTAGACGCCTGCATTGCGCAAACAGGTGTGCCAGAAAAACAGGTGCATTGCCAAATGCGGAGCTCGCAAACCCTGGCGCACGGCAAAACGTGTATTTTACTCCCTGCTCAGCAGACAAGGAAACTGAGGTTCAGAAGAAGAAAAGTATTTGAACAGGTCACGGAACTGTGTCGTGTCCAAGCAGTCCAGTGTGCTGGACCCCAACCAGGCTCTTCCTCCGTGGCACTGCCCCGCCATCCTTGAGTGAGCTTGCTGATTAGGAGGGTAAAGACCGCCCCTTCCAGCCATGGAAGCCACTCCTGGCTCCTACTGCTGCCCTTCCTGGACATCCTGTCTCTGAATGGAGGCTGGCCCTCCCTTTGCTCTTCCTCTGGCCATTATTAATCAGTTTTCCTCACTTGGACTTCTCTGCCTCCTCCCTGCCCCGCACTGGGCCCCCATGGAAGGACGCCTGGTTCCAAGTGCTGGATCCAATCCTGGTTCCCCACCCCTAAGTACTGTGTGGCCTTGAATGAGTTGCTCCAATCTCATACTACATGCTTTCCCGCCTGTGACTTGCGGGTGACACCCCTCCTTCAGGGGTAGGGCAGCTCTCATGGGGAAACCTGGTGACTATCTTTCCGGAGAGCTGTCTGCTCCCACTTCTCCCCCTTGGTTCCCTGCCCCCCCAACCTGTGGCCCCTGTTTTCCGCTCCTGCCAACTTCCCCCCTGGACTGTTGTCTGTCTCCTGCCCATTGGCTGTGCTTCCTGCCGCAAGGCTGCAGTGCCTGACTCTGGAGTCCCTCTTGCGCCTCAGTCCACCAGGATTCCTGAAACCCTGTTGTTCTATCTTCCTGAAAAGCACACCAGCATTTTCAGGAGAGGAAATAGAGCTGATTAGTAAACGTGTGGGGAAATATGACTGAGCAATGAAAGGTAAATGAAAACAACACTCTGGTGCTTTATTTAATCTGTAATTTTTAAAATATAAACTCTAATAATTTTAAATTAAAAACCTTTACTATGAATTGCTAGGGAGTGTGAGCTAAAACATGGGCTTTTACCTGCTTGGAAGGATGGGGCGGAGCACCAGGATGCCTGGCTTGTTTTTCTTCTTCTTACTGTGATAAAATATCCTTAATGTAAAATTTACTACCTCAGCCATTTCGAAGTGTCCATTTCAGTAGCATCAGTGCATGCATATTGCTGTGCAGACATCTCAACCATCTGTCTCCAGAACTTTTTCATCTTTCCAAATGGAACCTCTGTATCCATGAAACAAGGGCGCCCCAGCCCCTTCCCACCCCCAAGCCACCTTTCCATTTCCTGCCTCTATGAACTTAACAAAGTCTGTCTTCTGTGTCTGATTTATTTCAAGTATGATCTTGTCAAAGATCACTTGTCAGAATTTCCTTCCTTTTTAAGGCTGAGTAATATTCCTCTCTCTCTCTCACCCTCTGTGTGTGTGTCCTCCACATTTTGTCTTTCCATTTATCCCTCAGTGAGCACTTGGTGGGTTGCATTGGGAACAATGCTGTTATGAGTCTGATATGCAAGTATGTTTGAGTCCTGCTTTCAGTTCTTTGGGGTGTACCTCCAGAAGGGGAATGGCTGAGTCAGGTGGTAATTCTGTGTGTATTTTTCTGAAGAGGTGCTACGCTGCTCTCCCACAGGAGCTGCATTATTTTATATTCTGACCAACAGGACCCAGAGTGGCATTTTCTCTGCCTCCTTGCCAGCACCTGCTATTTTCTGTTTTGGGGTTTTTTGTTTGTTTTTATGTAATAGGCATACTAATGAGCAGTTTTGGCTTTTGTTCTAACTGAGAAGATGTGTGGGAGTTGGCTGGGGAAGGGAGCTTTCAGGTGCCTTTTGGCCACAGCAGAGACAAAAAGGCCAGAGACTTGCCAGCGCAGGGTGTGTCCTGGGGACTAAACAACCCTTTATGGCTGATTCTCACAGACATGGGGACTGAAGGCAGCAGCCAAAGCCCTATCACAGAGACAGAATCCTGGCTGAGAAGCATGACTTGACTGTTGACATAACAGATGGCTCCAGAGCCTGGGTGATTAGAAACTCTTGCAGCCAGGGAGGCGGAAACCCAGTTATGAGCCCCATATCTGGTGTGTGACCCTATACCCCACCAGATATGACCAGGCAAGGAGCACTCCCATCTAAGCCTTAGTTTCCTGTCCTGTGTAACGGGGTGGCAGCGGGTTGCAACAATCCCTACAAGAGAGAATGAGTGAGTTGCTCTGATCACTGAGTCACTGTGGTAGGGGACTTCCGGCTGACTAGGGCAGCAGGCTGCCTTGCTGAGCACTGACTCTGCTGGGGGCTTTCACCTGCCAGCAGCCAGCAATCCCAGCCCAGTGGACCTTGGCCTGTATCTTGTGGTCACACCTCCAGAGTCCAAGAGTCGAGGGCTCAGGCTGGGAGAGTTGAAGCAAAGCAGCTCCAGGCAGATGTGGGCCATCCTGGACATACCCAAGCAGAATCAGGGCTGGCCCCAGGGCCTCCACAGCGCACAGGACAGGACCTTGTACATACCATGCCTAGCGGACCCCTCCAGTCACCATCACATGTCCATGTCACAGACAAGGAAATTGAAACTTGGCCCAAGCTAAATTGCCCAGGGACACCAGCTTTGTGGCCGGGCCAAAACTCAAATGTGAGTCTTTTTGAGGAGTTATGCATTAGTGGGAAATTGGCCTGGAGTCATTTATTTGTTCACCTGTCATTCAACAAATCTTTACTGTGGTCCAGACACTTTACCAACAGTGAATGAGGCAGTTTCTGCCCCTGCAACTTCTGTGAGGCCCTTTCCACGATGGGGAATAACCCCTTCTTGAGTCTCTGCTATGTGCCAGGAACATATATAAATTAGCTGATTTAATGCTCAGAGCACTCTAGAGAGATAGAGATGATTTCAATTTATAGAGAAAAAAGCAGAGGATCCAGAAAGGAAGTGGTTTGCCCAAGGTCACACAGATGGGAAGGGCAGGACCTAGGCTTGGGCGACCCAGCTCATCCCATGTGTGCTCAGGCCTTGGTGAGGCTCAGGCAGCCAAGAACTGCTGGGCTGAGCCAGGAATCTATCCCGGGACCCACACTTCCTATTTAAATGCCATATTGTGATGTCAGAGGGCATTGGGCAAGGCCTCAGGGGATCAATTATTCCAAGAGTCCAGTTCCTCCTCGAACCTTCCTCTTTATGGCTTCAGGCTTGTCATCACGTGGGCTGGCTCTCTGCCTCAGGTTAGCCTAAGGCCTTGGATTAGAGAATCTGTACCTGGCTATGGGGCACTGGAGGCAGATAAGGGAAGAAGAGGAGGAAGAAGGGCAAGAAGTGACCATGTCCTCTCTGGGGCACACACCCTCGACTCCTTTACTAACAGGTCACACATACACTTCAGTGTTGAGTTTGAAATTCTCCTCCTCCAGCAAGTCGTCCTTGATCTATGGACCCCCAGGCTGGGTCAACCTCCCTTCCTAGCAGGTCTGGCCATGAAGTATGTTTACTCCCTCCAACCTCTGTACCAGGAACCTCTGGGTCCCCGACATCCTGCACAGCCTCTGCGCAGAGTGGGTGTCAGGGCTGTGTGGGGAGTGGAGAATGCCGACTCCACCTTGCAGCTCTTCCTGCCCTCCCTGCTCTGACTGTCCCTGCCAGCTCCCTCCCTCAAGGCCAAGAACAGGCATGCCCTCTTGGCCCCATTAAGGCCCCTCTGGGCACCCCAGTGTCCCCCAGAGCCTTAAGAAGCATTTCCTGGGCTTCGCTCTATCAGGTCCATGCAGGCACTGAGATAATGCAAGAAACCAAAAATGACTCAGCAAAGGATTCTCAACCAAATAAATGGCCTCTATATAACCACAAGGTGGGGCGGTGAAATAAGCACGGCTAGAGGAAGGATCTCTAGCAAGGGAGCTGTGAAAACACGCAGAGCCGAGCAGAGCAGAGCAGAGCAGACAGGAGTAAGTCAGAGGACTCGGCAAAGGGTAGAGGGAGAGGGGGCCAGTGGGCACAGACAGCAAACAGTCCTCCCGCATCACAAGACCCGGGTTGCCTTGACAGCGGCAGGAAGCCTGGCCGGCAGGAAGAGTCCCACAGTCCCTGAGGCCCTCCTGCTTGGCTGGGGTCAGAGCAATGGCCACCAAGTGGTTTAGCGGGGCGCCCTTCGGGGTGCAGAGCCACAGGTAGGACTGATGGAGCTGTGCCGGGGATTCTGGGCTGGGGAGCCGGGCCCCTTCAGCCTGAGTGGGGCTGGGGAGGGCCCAGGACACTATGTTGGACTGGGAGTGGTGGGACTTCTGCGCGTTCCTGCCCAGAGTTCGTTTCCATCCTATTCAAGTTATTTCGAGAGCATCTACTGTGCACTAGACTCAGAGAAGCCAAGAGGCGTGGCCCAACACAGGCCACTCAGCTCAAAGGGAGCTTAGGTGTCCCTCTGGGTGTCTTTATGCACACACCGTGATATCTATAGACATGGGTCTAAATCACCTATGGTCACCTATAGATACACTGACATGTGGCATGTGCCAGGCTCGTTCTAATATCTGGGAATGCATCTGTGAACAAAAGAGCAAGTCTCTGTACTCAGAGAGTCTGTGTGTAGGGGGGTGTTGGTTAGAGTGACTATTAAAGAAAAATAAGTAAAATTTAGGCTATAGACGTAAAGAAGGATGGGAGAAGGAGCTGGAGAGTGGCTGGGGTTGTGTCGAGAAGCTGACTTCTGCGTGAAGGCCCCTGCAGGGAGGAGGGGACCACACAGAGTGGTGTCTGGAGTGAGGGGCCAGGAAGGATAAGTCCCTGAGGTGGGAGCAGCCCCGCTCTCCCCTGGGTTCCAGGTCTCAGACTCTGCCCCTCCCCAGGTTCGACATCTCTGCTGTTTATCCCAACCATAAGAAGTTCAGCACCTTCACGCAAGCCCCGTACTTCAAGAAATATTCTGAAGATGTGGTGAGTTGGTGCAGCTTCCCAGAGTCTCCCAGTGGGTCTGGCCTCTGCCCCTCAGGGTCCCCTGTGGGGTGAGCTGAGCTCTGTGAGAGCTGTGCCTTATCGCTCTCCAGCCTTGGTGGAGTGCAGAGCTTGACATGTCGACTGGGGCTCTGGGGGTCTGCAGTGCAGGCCTGCAGTGAAAGCATCACGTGTTGGACCCCGGAGACCTGCGTCCACTCCCTCGCTTGGACACTCACGGGCTGGGCTCTTCTCAGAGTTGCTTCACCTCTCTAAGCTGCTCTGTAAGGGGCCAGTGACAGAGCATGTCCTGACTGCACCATGAGTGCCATGCCCCTTGGTGCCAGGCTAGTGCCAGGGGTGTGGGCCAAAGAAAGACATTGCCTGTCCACCCCCAGGTCAGGGTGGTGGCTTGGTGGAGACCTACTCTGAGCCTGGTCAGGGGAGTGTGGTCATCCCGGCTCTGACTGTGTTCTCACTCAGGCCCACATAGGACCTGGGACCTATGGGACCATGGAGACCTGCTTCAGCAAGAAGAAGCTCAAGAGAGAGATGGGCACAGGCTGGGCCAAGGCCCAGGAAGCCACGCGGCTGACCCAGCTGCCCCACTATCAGTACCAGGGCATCATGAAAGAGAAGCAGCAGCAGGTGAAGCCCGGGCCCCGCTCCTCCTCCCTGTCTGCTGTCCAGGCCCATTCGTTCAGTTCTAGCTGCACCAAGCGTGGCCTTCGGTGTCCTCCCAGGCCAAGCTCATCCTCCAGGGATCCAGCTCCCACCCCACTCCCATACTCCTTCCTACATGGACACCCCCAAGTTTAAAGTTTTGAACCCTCTCTCTCTTCTTGTCCACGCTCTTCTCTCCATGCAGAAGGAAAAACTGGGGCCCGGCTCCTACAACTTCAAAGACTTTATCGAACTGCTGAAGCAGAAGCCGTGTAGCACCCGCGGGCTGCTCAGCTCTGGGGAGATTCGCTTCCGAGGACTCATTGGGGTAGGTCTTCCCACCTGTGTCCTGCACGCTGCCTTCCTCCTGCCTCCCGCAGCTGGCTTGGCCGGGCTCCCCTCTGGGCCCCACAGCCCCTGTGCTTTCCAGTGCTGTTGGCTGGTCCAGTGTCTGTCTCCACCCCCACCCCAGCCCCCCGCCGCAGGCCTGCTGGCAGAGACAGGCCTGGTTCACCCCGAAGTCCCCAGCTCAAAGCAAAGCACCAGTGGTGCCCAACAAGCCCACCCATCATTGGAACCAGCCAGGCAGCCAGCTGAGGATGAGGGAGCACCGACTCGGTGCCATGGCTGCTCGAGTCCCCGGGGATCAGCAGTGAAAACGACATCATGGCCCTGGCATCCCAGCGTAGAAGCAACAGCTCAAAAAAGCAAATCATAGGCAGTAAGGCCTGCGAGCTACCGCGAGACAGAGAGGGCTGCAGAGCGGTGGAGCTGCCATCTGCGAGCTGGGCAGGGGAGCCCTCCAGGAGGAGGGGTGTAGGCGATGGCAGGCTTGCGGGCCACGAGCAGTCGGGACTTGTGGTATCTGCGGGCAGCAGAAAAGCAAAGGCTAAGGCCCTGAGGTGGGACCTGCAGGGGAGTCAGATGAGCAGACAGGTGAGAGTGGGAGGAGCCTGGAAGGGGAGGGCAGCAGCCCGCTGGTCAGAAGAAGGACCTTGGTGCTGGGAGCGGGGGTGTTAGGGTCTGGTTCTGAATGCGGAGAGAAGATGGGAGGGTTTTGTTGGGGAGGCAGAGGATGTGATGTGCATTTTCAGTTGTAGGGGTGGTGGTTGAAGGTGCAGGGGTGAAGGAGAGAGGTGGCGATGGCGGGTGGGGGGCTGCAGTAACATCAGAGTGGGCCAGTTTGGGGGACACTAAGTGGGATTCAAGCTTAGCTGTCAGGTCACGAGGGAGGACAGCTGCCACCCTATTACCCTGCACTTTATAGAGTGCCCCTCCCCCCGGGCCGGCCAGTGTGCCCTGCACTCGACATGTGTCCTCACCCGTCCTCCCAGCTCCACCAATGCACCATGATTTTAGCACTGCTTTCTGCTCCTGCTGCTCCCTCCGCCAGAAATGCTTCCACCTCCACCCCCGGCAGCCTCCTTGCCCAAGCAGCTCCTACTCACCCCTCAGCTTTTAGCTCCATGCTTGACCTGACCCCCACTGGGTGCGGTCAGTCTTTCCTAGGAGCCCTGAGTGTGAAGTGTAGCTTGTATCTCTCTGCCCGGGATGTCAGCCCCTGTGGGTGAACACGTTTACCTGGTTCAGGCGCTGCAGAATCCCCAGGTCCTGACAGTGCTTGGCACGTAGTAGGCAGCTGTAAGTATTTGTGGACTGAATACGTGCACACTCGCCTACTCAAAGTACCAGGTGCGCCAAAACACTGAAACATTTACAATCAGTCCAGATGAGGCTCTGGGGGTTCACACAGGATTCACACCCCTGCCTTAGGCCACCCAGCTGCCGAGCCCCAGACCTCACCACTGTGAACCTGCCATGGAGCCTGGGGATTACTCCATGTCACGTCAGGGGATGAGCACATGCATTTTTGGGTGCAGAAGCTGGAACTGTGAGGCAGGGAGAGGGGGTGCCTGGAGGTGTTTAAAATGAGTCATTACCTTCAAATCTACAGTAATAATAGCTGACACTTAACAGCACTATCACGTGCCAGGCACTGTTCTAAGCACTCGAGTGTACTAATTAATTTAATCCTCACAACCATGCCATGAAGTAGGCACTGTCATTATCTCCACTTTAGAGATGAGAAACTGGAGGACCGAGAGGATACATACTACCCAAGGTCACAGAGCTACCAGCGGCAGAAGCCGGTTTGGAAGCCCAGCGCCCACACGCGGCCCCGGCCCTTCACCCGTAGACTTGGCTCGCTCAGAGCTGTTCTTGACTTTTGCGGGGGACAGGGCCTAATGTCAGCGCCCGGCCCGGCTGGAGCCAGAGGAGTCGGGGAACAAATCTCATACTAGTTGTTTGCCTCCTGTGTGCCCCGCTGCCAACACTGAGGAACCCGCGTGTTGGCCAGCGTGGTCCAGCTAAGGTGTCACAGCCGTCTCTGTCTCTCTCCCCTTGGTCCCAGGCTCTCCGCAGTAACCTCTGCCAGGCTCTGCACGACTTTTCTGGCTGCTCTCCTGGCCTCAGGGCTGGAGAGTTGGCTCAGGTGGCTCTACAGACCATGGCCCCTGAGGGAGCTCATGTCCTGGGCCTGCTGCAAGACCTGGGCTGGAAACCCCAAGCCGCCCCTGGTCTCTTGTCCCTCCACGAGCACCCACTACTGAAGGCATAGAAATGCCAACTTCCTGGGGCCCACGCCAATGCCAAAGCACCGAGAGGCCTCACCAGCCCTTCCCAAATTAGAATGGGCCCCAGACCACACCCCCCAGGCAAAGGGAATGTCTTTTGCGGGTTTGTAACCCACACTCCTGGGCATGGAGGGTTGCTGCCACCTCTTCGCCCTCTCTTGACTGGGTACGGGGCTCTATAGCCAAGCTCCTTGCAACTGACTCTAGACCCCACCCAGGCTTCCCAGCACCCAAAGTCTGCATGTCTGCTCCACCCCCACCCACAGATCGGCATCTCCCCTGCTCCTGCCAGGGGGTGTCGCTGCCTTGCAGGGCCTCTGTAGCCTCTGGAGTCTGTGCTTTTCCTCCTGTTCTTCTCCCTCTTCCTTTCATCCCCACTGCTCCCCCGTGGCCCAGACCCCAGTCCTCTGGACCAATTTCCAAAGCCCCTAATCACCTTCTTCCTGACTCAGGATCCAGCCTCGCTGCCCCTCCCTACCTCTCCCAGCTGGCTTCGGTGTCTGGCCGGCCACGGCCTCCCTGCCTCTACCCCTCCCTCCTCCTGCAGGACCTCCCCCTTCCGCACAGTCTTTGCGGTCCTTCTCATTCCTTATGCTCCAGCTGAAAAGAATCTTGTAAATGAAGTGCCCTGCTTTCCTTTATCCCTCTCCCCAGAGTGAATCACCCACACCTGGGTCCCCAAAGCTCTGCCAAAATAGCCTAGTTCAAATGAGGGGCTTTCTCATCAACCCAAGTTTCTCACTCTACCTCATTTCCTCATTTGTTAATTGAGGATGACGCTCATTGGATCTTTTCCCTTTGCCTCTGGGACAAAGATGTCAAGCTTTGTGAGGAACTTAATATACGCTGCAGAAACTCAGCTTCCTACCTGTGGTGCTGTTCTCCTGAACACACCCGGAAACCCTGGGAGGAGGCATCATGTCATCCTGTGGCTCTGGCGGTGAGCAGACTGGATGCTCTCAGTGGCCTGACTTCTCCAGCCGAGCTGGCCCCTCAGCCCTGCTCTGTCCAGCTGCTTTCCTGAGCTGGGGGGGAGGGGGTGGACTGAGGGTTGAAAGAGAGGCGGGTAGGGCAGAGCCATCTGTGGAACAGCAGCGACCCCGCGTGGCTAAAAGGTACAGAGCTGCAGCGAACTTCCTGCAGGGTCCCTACCCAAGGACCCCCAAGCCCTCATTCACCCACCTGCTTACACTGTGGGGGGGGTCTCCTCACTCCAGGATCAGACCATACTTCTGATCCTGGCAGTCGAGACCCAGGTGGTCATTTCAACCACAGTTCTCTTTCACCTCCTCCTCCACCCCCACTGACCATGTGACAATTGATACCCACTTTGAGCTGGAGCAGAAGGCTTTATAGACATTATTTAAGTAGTGGAAGAAAGCACCCCCATATTATAGATGTGGACCATGAAGCTCAGAAGTATTAAAGGGGGTGCCCAAGGCCACTCAGCTAGGAAGCAGCAGCACCAAAATGTGAACCCAGCACTCCAGATCCTTCCAGCACAGTGGGACACCCATTCGTACAAATGCAGGATTATGATACAGAGCAGAATTTCTGAGAGCCACACTCACCCACCTTGAGGACACCCCCCTACCCCGCTCCCTGCAAAACAAGCAGCTGGGCTGATAGGCAAAGGAAGGCTTCGTTCCCAGGGGAGAATGGAGCCGGCTGTGCAGAATTAGAAGTTCCCAAGGCAGACGATGCAGGAAGAACATCTCCGGCATGCAAAGGCAAGGAGGTTTGCAGAGTGACATGGGGGCCAGAAAGGAGCCCACTGGCTGAAGCACGGGCTGTCAGAGGAAGTGGTAAAAGGTAAGTGAGGACAGCCAGGGGCCTTGGCAGAGAGTTGAGCTTGCGACCGAAGGTCTGGGCAGTGGTAGAGGTTCACAGTCTGTGGGCCTGAAAATCCTGCTCCCTCCCAGGGGCATCTCCTCCTCAGATGCACTGAGCTCAGGGGGTGGCCGGGCGGCTACTGTGTCCCTTCCTCTCCTGCAGAACTACTATCCAGGTCCTGGAAATTACGGGGAGAAAGGCAACCCCTACACGAAGCTAGAGGAGAGTGCTTGGAACCGGTCGCACTCTGAGGGTCTCATGTCCAGGATGACCAACAAGCCACCCCCTTTGGCACATCAGGTAGCCCCTTGCCCGGCCAGGCCCTGCCCTGTCCACCTTCCTGCACTGTCCTATGGGGAGGTTCCCAGAAGGATGGGCAACTGCCAGGGCGGTGGGTCGGCCCCAGCATTCTTCTGCAAGCGTGGTGGTCTGTGCTCTGTTGTAGGGGAGCGGGCTGGCACCAGGCACCTATCACCTCAAAAGTGGCATTGAGACATACGTGGCACGATCCGTGGGCACCCGAGGCCCCTATGACATTTTCTCTGGCGACCGACAGAAGCCCAAGCCGTATGGACACTACTCTGCGCTGGTGTGTGCCCAGGCAGGGCGCGGGGGCATCTTTCCCGGAAGGATGCCAGGAGCCCCACCCTGGGTGCCTTAATCCCCCAGCAAGGGTGGGATGTGGCTTCTTGTGTTATGTGGGGAAACTGAGGCTGGGCTCACAGCTTCTCAGGGCAGAGCTAGGGTTGAGTCTCAGTACATGGATCTGGCTGCCCCACCTGTTCTGGTTTGCCTGCCCTGGCATGAGCTGCAGGGGAGGTGTAGCTGGCCACAGCTAGGACAGAGTGGGAGACTGGCCACCAGGTCTGCAGGGACCTGTCCTGGAAACACTTCCCAGGTGTCGTGGGCCCAGCTTAGCTGACAGGGTTGGTGGCAATGCTCTGTTAACGTGATAGAGACCTGGAGCACCCGCAGGGGAAACTGAGGCGGAGTTTTGCCTCGCCACCTCCCTTTCCCGCACACATCAGGCTGCTGTTGTGTGATACACGGAAGTCATGTTTTGCTTTCTTTGAGCTCATAGCAGTTGGAATTGTCTGTACCTGCTTATTTCAGGTGTACCTTGTTCACTCCGTGTGTACCTTCAGGCCAGGTAATAGTCTAGGACAGGGAAACCTGTGATGCCAATGGGAAAAGAAACAGTCCCAATAAAAGCACAATGTAGTGTTAGCCAGTGGTGAGCTTGCAGTCAGGGCATCGGGGAGCTAGGAAGGGGTCACGGGGGTGGGACATTGGGAGCAGTGGAAAATAGCTGCTGAACTGGGCTGCCCACCTGGCTCTTTCTGGAACCGCCACAGGGTCCCATGACCAGCCTGAAGTGTCCAGCACAGCTCCCAGACCCCCAGAGGTGGCACACCAATGCTCAGTCTAATTGACTGCACAATGTTTCTATTGTCTGAAAAATAATGGGAAGGATCCACTGTTGTAGTATCATACGGAGTAGTTTTACTGCTGGAAAAATTCTTGTGGCCTTCTCTCCCTCCATCCCCCCCCAAAAAAACCCACAAACCACTGGTTTTTTAATATTTGGACTATTGCTTCTGCTGGGGGTGGGGGTGGGGTGTCTATCCCAGTGACTGTCTATGAAGCAAGTACAGGAAAGGATGGAATGACCCAGATGGTGCTAGTGTGTGGCCCCAGGTAGGAGTCGCTGGAGACCCTCAGACTCTAGCCCACACCCTGACTGGGGGGCTCGTCCCTACCTGCCTAGGTCTGGCTTTGGGGACAGGTAGGATGGGCACATGGTCCCTCATTGTTCTCCCCTGCTGGTGAGCACTCAGAAAGGGGCTCTTGATTTTTCTGGTCTAACCAATACCCTTTTTCTTCTGTGTCTCAGAAAAAAAAGCCCATGGAACTGATGAGTTTCAAGACCTTTGTGGAAGAACTTCACTCGCGTTACAACAAGAAGCGTGGGGTTTTCTCGAATGTTCCCCGCAACCCTGAAATCCCTCCTGAGAGGATTTACTGGGCTACCCTAAGCCAGTACCCCCGAAAACTAGTCAGTGTCACCCCCATGGCCTTCCTTCCTCTCTTGGCTCTCCTGTGGGGGCCGGGGTGGGGTGGAGGCTTATCCAGGGAGAGCAAACCAGGGGGTCATGGTCAGCCCAGGTCTTGCACGTTATTTGTCACCTTGGGTGACGCCACTCACTCTTTGTGCCTGTTTACGCAGAAGGTTGCCTGGCCTTGACCTTCACACCCTCTCTCTCTGTCTCCTGGAGAGAGGGCAGGGGAAAACTGGGGCAGGGCAGAGTGTAAATAAAGTCCGAACCTTGCTCCAACTAGGGGTTGGTGGACTCCACTTGAGGTTAAGGATGGGCAGTCAGTGCCCAGACTTTAGCTGAGTCCCCCAAGCAAGGTCTGCCCCCCAGGGAGAGAAGTGCTAAGGGCTCAAGAAGAAGACAGGCTAGAAAAAGGACCAACGTTTCCTGAAGGCCTGCTGGTCCCTGCCTCTTCCAGCCCTCTGCCCGCCCCCCACCCCACCATCACCACCAAGGGAAGGAGCATCTGCATTTTACAGAAGGAAACTGAGGCCCAGAGATTGGAAGGATTTGTCCAGGCTCTCCCAGCGAACACAGAATGTGCTGGCTTGAACCCAGCTCTTCTTGCTCCAGCTCTGTGTGGGTCTCCTCAGGCTGGGGTCTGGAGCATCCCTGGCAGGCCACGAGAGTTCCTGGGAGCCTGGAAAGGAGTGTCAGGTTGATGGAGCAAGGGCTAGAGGGTGGGCATGGTGAGGTCCTTTCTTCCCGCAGGATGGGCTCCTGGTGAGTTGGAAGTGGTAGGATTCCAGCCACTACCCTTGGCTCTGGTCAGAGCTCTCACCTGCCCTGGCCCCAGGTGACCACCACCAGCCTCTCCACCTTCCCTCTAGGACACATCTGGCCCTGGCATGTGGCTTCCTGTGGAGAAGAAATGCAAACGTGTCAACCAACCCCCCTTCCTGCTGTCCTCCAAGCGGCCAAGCAAGCCCTACCAGATGCTTATGGGAGCCTGGGTGAGTGGTCTGCAGTGGGGTTCATGCCGGATTGCCTAAACCCTTCTTGCCCCCAGGAACTGACACTGTGTAAGCGGGATCCGGACCCCACCTCTGTCCTCCCCCCGGGACTGATGCCGGCTCCTATTGTCTTATTTCTCCAAGACCCTGGTGTCGAAAACTGAATGAGCGGTACTATGATGGGGGAGGCAGGGAGGGTTGGTAAAACACAGAACTTGTGGCCCAGCAAGGCTGGGTGAGACCAGGAATTCTAATGTGTTCTGGGTGAGGCTCACACTTCCTTTCCAGGAGCTAAAGCCGGGTACTCTTATTTCCCCAGGGGAACACACCCTCCAATCTCTTTGTATTGGTCTGGGGGCTGCAGGGGCAGTTGGTGGAGTTGGCTGATTTCTTACCCCTGGTTAGGAGCCCTTTGCCCCTCCTGCACCCCCCCCCCAAAGCATCCTGTAAAGCAGATGAGAACCTCATTTATGTCTCACTCCCACCCTTCAGGTTTTAACTGCATAGATCAGGGTCTGTTATCATAGAAAGGTGCAAGAATCACTACAAAAGAGCCCGACCATGCAGCCACCCTCCAGGATGTTGAAGAGCATGTCTTGGGCACCCCAGCACCCCCTTCTACCCTCCCCCCATCAGGCCACTGCCATCCTGACTTCTGGTAGCTCATATTAGTTTTGCCTGACTTTGGACACCCTTGTATTTTTAAGCTCCCTCCTGTTTTCCCAGGGAACATAGTGCCTGTCACAGCTGCCTTTCCCACACTAGACCCACTGGCCCAGCCAGCACCCCACACCTCCATTCAACTTCCCCCAGGGCTGGCTTGGCCTCCACTGTATTACACCCAAAGCCCTGCCCATTCTTGTGAAGACTGACTGGCCAGTCCCACATTCTTTTTTGCACCTTCAGCTTGCATTCCCTGCAGAGGAGAAAGTGTCTTTGCTTGGGGTCCGCAAATAAGATGTTTAGAAAAGGGCCAAAGGACCCAGCTGTGACCACCGGCCTGGCCCCGGCAGTGGGAAGGACTGACGGGAAGGCAGGCTCCAGAGGCTGAGGGCTGGGGCAGGGCGCTCTGCTTGCACGCCCAGCCGGAGCTTGCTTCTTCCTGGACCAAGCCCAGTTTGACTTTGCACTGGACAACCATGTCCCCCACACCTCTCAGCCTGCCCTGGGCACTGCTTCTCTGCAGACAGTGGGTCTTCTGTCCTGCAGTTCTCCTGGGTCAGGACAGGCGCTCCAGCTTGGGTTTCTGGGTGGGGTGGCATATTCACTCCTAGGGCTGCCATAGGAAGTTCCACAAGCAAGCTGTCTTTCCACTGTCCTGGCGGCAGAAGTCTAGAGACTAAAGACCAGGCGTCGTCAGGGTTATGCTCGCTCTCAGACCTGCAGGGGAGAACCCTTCCTGGCCTCTCTCTAGCTTCTGCTAGGGGTCAGCAGTCCTGGGGCTGCCTTGGCTTGTGCATACATCACCCCAACCTCGGCCTCTCCCCATGTGTCTGTGTATAAGGACACAGTCACATTGGGTTAAGGAAGTGCCCTTCTCCATTGTGACCTCATCTTGACTAATTGCATCTGTAACTCTTTGCAAATAAGGTCACCCCCAGGTACCGGGGTTTAAGTCAGCTTGTCTTTTGTGGAGGAGGAGGGCACAATTCAACCCCTAACAGGTGGGATAGGGCAGGAGGCGTGAGGTCAAGTCTCGAGCCAGGCATGCAGCTTGCTGATGTGCTGCTGCTCTCCCGCGCAGAACCCGGTCGGTGTGGGCCGCTACCTCAACACCTGGCTGATGGAGACAAAGGACCAGCGGCAGCGGTACCGGTCTCTCTTCCTCGGTGAATCCAAGCGCTACCCCTCAGACCCGGTCAAAGAGAAGCTCTTGCAGTGAGTGTCGCTGTAACTCCAGCAGACAGGGCAAGGGTTAACTTGGGGTGGGGGCCCCCCCACCCACTCTGAGGTGGCTCTCTGAGGGGACACAGCTGCTGTCCTGGCACTGGCTATGTGCAGTGAGCAGGTCCCTTCACCTCTGAGACCCCTCCCCTCAGCTGTCAGCTGAACAGAGGAGACCCAAGTGAGGTCCCCTAGGTAAAGCTCCTGGTAAAGGAAAAGAACTCTGTCAACCCTGAACCCTGCACCTGCAGTCCACCCAGCTTCTCCACAAGGAACCTGTTTCTTGGTGTTAGTGATGAGGTGAGTAGGCCTCATTTCAGGACACTGTTGTGAAGCCTGAGGCAGAGGGTGCTGGACTTATGGTAGCTGCAAGCCAGCTTGCAGATGCGAGCTGCTGCCACTGACAGCCCAACAACTGGTTTCATTATGTCACTTTGCGTCAGGTTGGTTTCCCCGATGCTGTGGATACCAGTAAGTGAGCACACACTGGAGTGTCAGAGCCCCCATCAAGCAAACATTTATAGCGCTAAGTGCTCTTAATATCCATCAAGAAAGATTCAAACCCGGGGTGGGAAGAGTGCATTGGACTATAGTGGTGGCACACGGGTGAATTGGTGGTGGGGAGCCCATGGGGGTTACCACTGAGATGAAAAATGCACAAAATGAAGAATGATGTAAAAAAAAGTTACATTTTAAGTTCTTTATGAATGGAAAAAAAAAAAGATTCAAACCCACACAAAGAAGCCTTTGTTCAATTCTGGAAGCTTAAAAAGTAAAAATAAAGCGGAATCAAAGAGTTAATAACAATGCGTGGAGGCTGGCTGGCTGGCTGCTCACGCCTCCTCTGGGGCTGGCGCTGGGGGGGAAGAGGGCAGCAGGTCCAGCACTGCAGAGGTGCAAAGTGCAAGGTACCAGCCAGCACTGCCTCCCGGCTCACACATGCACATGAGTAGGTGAGGCATGGTCAGGTGGCCTGAGGAGTGGCCCAGCGTCCTATGGCCAAAGAGGCCTGGCAAGGCCCAGAAAGTGTGCCTCATTCAGACTCCCCTGCAAGGGGCTGCAAGTGGCTGAATACCTGCCCTTGATGACTGCTCTCTTCAGGCCGGGGCGAGGGAGGCATTCTCCTCCTGGATTGTGTAGTTACAACTGCTCTTTCCCACCTCTCACTCCCAAGCTTCACCTGTTTCTTTCTGCCAAACCACAGAACTCTGGGCTGCTAGCCAGGCAGCCTGGGATTTAACTCCAAGTGGGAAAGGCAGCCTTTTGCTTTTCATTCTTCAGAGCCGTGTATCCAGTGTGTCCTAAATGCAGTTGACTGACCAATGGAGCAGGTTTTGCATCTGGTTGCCCTGCTGGCCCTGACATAACCGGGCCTGTTTCACCTGTCTGGCCCACTCTCGGAACGTGGCCCCTGGCTTTGCACCACCACTGGACCTTTCACCACACTGTGATCTGTTCTGGGAACATTCTCCTAGTTTCTGTCTGGAAACTCCTATTTATCCTTCACGACTCAGCTTCCCGGAGTTTCCCAGACAATGTCTCTTTATTCTCAGTCTCTTGTGCTTCCCCAGGTTGAAGCCTTTTCCTATTACGTTGTAATTATTCAGATGCCCAAGGTCCCTGCTAAACAGAACCATCTATTCTCTAGCTCCAGGGTGTAGCTGGCATGCCTACGAGGCGCTCAATAAATATCTGAAGGCCCAGCCAGCACATTAAGGCTGCTAAGGTCCAGAGTCTGTCTGCATAGCTCATGAAAGCAAGAATGCATGGGAAACGCCCTGTTTCACTTGATAGCAGCTTACTTTTCCTTTTGTCTTTTTTTCCATGTGCATTTTATTACAGATTTCTTTTTAACAGAGGACTTCCCGAGTGTGTTCCTGTACGCCCACCCTTTCAATATTCTCATTAATGTTTAACCCTTATTTGCTCTGTGACATATCTATTTTCTATCCCTCTGTTAATCATCGTATATTTTGAGGTTTTCCAACTAAAACAGACACCGATACCCTTCTATATGGGTATCGGTGTACTACCTTTTAAGCATTTTAAAACAAGTCTTTGTCCCGAAATTTGAAGTTGAATTCCTAACTCTCCATTCTTTGTAATGATCATCATAACAATAATTGATGCTTATATTCTTAGCGCATACAAGGACAAAGTGATTTTGAATATATGACTGTATACAGTAACTTTTAGACTTAGGCATTACTCTCTGGCTTTTTCAGTTGAGACATGGATGGTCGAGAGAAAAGTGATTTCCTAAATCATTTGCTGGCCAGTGGTGTTCTTCGGGCAATCTTCACAAATTCATTGAGCACTTACCCTCTGCCAGGCACATCCTGGTGCCGGGCCACAGCAGAAGAGAATGTCCCGTCCCCAGTGGCTGCCAGCTCGTGGGGGAGGGACTGACAGGGCAGTGTGAAGAGAGGTCAGGTGGGAACCAGAATTTCCATGTTCAGATAGCTCCTCCACCCCACCCTACCTCCCCCCACACACACACACACCCCGTTTCCTGGATGAGACCAGGAAAAAAGGCCCTTTGAACTCAGGAAGGCTGAAGCAGTCTTCGCCATGACCCATCTCCTGTGCTGGGCTCCCCCCCCTGGATGCCCCCCCCCCACCCATCCTCGGCCTTTGCACATACCACTGTGGGGGTGACTGGGGAGTTGGAGACTCAGGACTTCAGCACGGGGTGGGGGGCCTTCCCCTGTAAATCCCATCAAACATTCACTCTGTAACCAGAAGTCCAGAGATTGCCACCGAGATGACGGCACTAGAAAAGATTGGGCCTCAGCCTCAAGAGCAGGCAGCCTGGAGAAAGGCCAGTCTTACTTTTCCTTCCTCCCTGTCTTCCCTTCTTTCTTTTATTTCCCTTTCTTTCTGGTGAGGGTGAATGGGCATGGACCCGAGAGCCTATCTCTGGGCTGAGATGCCCAGGTCTACCCGGGAAGGTGGCGCAGAGACAGGGTGTGTGTTCCAGGCTGCCACTGGGCCTGGAGGGAGAAACCAGCTGAGCCTGTTGGGGGTGGCTGAGCAGCTGGCAGGTGGGGCTTGGGAAGGGGACATAAGTGCAGAAGTGAGAGACCAGGCAGGGTGGGAATGTACCTTTCAGTAGGAGTTTGACCTTTATGCAAACACATACCTGCAGATCAAGCAGCCAGCAGTCAAGTGCGTCAACACAGGAGGCGGTCTTGGGCAAGGGTTCTAGGAAGCTGTAATATTAGGGTGGGACTTAGCTTCCTCATGGCAGAAACCCTGCGTTGTGAAACTTCAGTAGACCCTAACAGGAGCCTAGGATTTGGGGAGGAAACTGGACTTTTGTAGCTTACAAAACTACGCATGACATGAAGTCACCTGAGCTTCCTAGACAGTGTGTTCCCCCAGTGACCCACCTATCTCCTGCTGCGACAACCTGGCTCACTGTGTGCTGAGGTCTGAGACCAGCCTCATTCCCACCAGCCTGACTTCCCATGGGTGCTCTCTGATTGAGGCTCTGACAAGTCTGTGGGCTTTAGGATGAGTGCTGCCAGCCCCCAACTGGGTGGCCCTGGCAACTAAGCCAGCCTCTCTGTCCTCAGCTGTGGGATGGCACCATGAGGTCTATCTCACAGACCAGGGACTGGTTAGAAGACAGACTTGCTACCTGCCTCCTGTCTAGCCCAGCATCTCTCAGCAGGCTGCCCTGGCATTGGGAGGCGCCTCTCCATGGAGCCAGGTGTCTCCTCCAGCCCTTGCAGGCTGGTAGCATCCCGGGTAGCTGCCCCGGCTGCCGGTGCATGCCTCCTCCTCCATCTCTGGCATAGTCTGCAGACTGCATATTTCCTTTGCTCCCTGTGGGCCACGGCCACTCCCGGCTTGGCCAGTTCACTCCAAGGCCCTTACTGAGTGTCAGCTGTGTGCCAGGAAGTCCCTAGAATTGTCCTGATGGAAGGCTGTGTGTGACAGTGGGAGGAACAGGGGCCAGGGAGGCAGGAAAAGACATTTTCCATTCTAGGACTACATGAATGATTTAATTTTGTTCTGACTGAATCTACCTCTGTCCTGGACACCTATGTTCCAGGCCAGGGCCTTTCCAAAGCACATGGAGCGGAGGAGGTTAGTGCCAGTGCAATGGAGCTAAGTTATGCAGACTTAACCCCGTCTGGGAGAAGTCTTTTCTTAAGTCAGATTTATCATTAGTAGTAACTGATGTGTAGTTTTAGGTAGACACTTCCGAGTTGTGGCAATGCTTGTAGTCATGCTGTAATCACCCAGGCGACTAGATAAAGAATATTACCACCCAGCTTCCTGTGCTCTCTGTAGCTGGTCTCGTCCCCTCCCCTGGATCCTGGCCAACTACTGAGATGGTTATATCGCTATAAAGTTCTGCCTTTTCCAGAATGTCAGACAGAGTCACGCCATATGTAGGATTTCGGGTCTCTGCTTTCATTTTACGTGATGCTCTCAGGCTCACCCGCCTGGTTGTGTAAATCAGTAGCTGCTGCCTTTATCCATTCCTAAGGTGAGGGACATTTGGGTTGTTTCCTGTTTGGACAGTTTTGAATAAAGCTGCTATATAGGCAGCTTATAAAAGACCTCTTTTTGCTTCTCATGTAACTATCTAAAATGGGCTTTCTCAGTTGCTTGGGCAATGTATTATAACTGTTTAAGAAACAGCCAAATGACTTTCTGCAATGGCTGTACCACTCTGCTCTCACCAGCAGTTCATGTGGGTCTGATGACTTCATGTTCTTGTGAGCGCTTGGCGTCATCAGGTATTTCTTTGTGATTCCATTTCCTAACATCAGCCATCTCAGAGGCCTATTTCCTTGCAGTTTGAATTTGTGCTTCCCTAATGACAAGATGCTGAGCATCTTTTGAGGTGCATCCTCCATCTCCTTTTGCCCTTAGGAGAAAAAAAAATGGGTTGGACTCTATTTAAAAGTCCTTTAAATAGTATTAGATATGCACTTTGTCATATCTTCTCCCAAAGTCTTAGAATGGTTTTAATGAGAAGTAACTCTTGCATTTTAAAGACTGGCCTCTGTGGTGCTTTGGGCTGAAGTCGTGGGGGGTGAGGGTGGGGGGTAGGGGTAGATCATGAGGTTGGCTTCCAGATCCAGGTGACAGTGGAGCTGAGCCAGGGGAGGGGAGGAGTAAAGCCTTGGGGACCTACCCCCTTTAGTAAAAGCCTGAGTCTCTTCCCCATACTTCCTTTTCTTGGGCAAATATTTGTGGAGCACCTTTTGAGCATCAGATCATGGTCTGGGAATAGCGTAAATAGCAATAAACAAAGTTCTCCTTCAAGCAGTTTGCGTCTTGGTGGGGAATCAGACAAGAAACACGCAAGGGGCTGCTAGATACTGATTGAAGTAGAAGGTCCTCACTGACATGGCTCCCAGGGTGGAACCGAGTCCCTGGACCTTCCACACTGATGACAAGAATTGAGCAACCGGAGGAGCACAGACAGAGTCAGAGCTCTGGGCTGGAATGCTGGCCCTGACTCAGGCCACCAGGGCTCTCAGCAGGCCCCATCAGCCCGTGGGCCATTCACAGCCCGGCTCCCTATCACAGCTGGACTGGCTGGGTTTGCAGGTGCTGGGATTTTGTGTTTGAGGTTCTTACAAAGCCACCTGGGGGCTCTGGTGAGTCAAATGAGGCACCTCCTAAAATAAAGGCATGTCCTCCTTGGAGCCAGACTGTCAGGGTGGAAAGGCTCTTGGGGTCATGCACTTGGCTTCTCACTCAATGTCAAATCCATGCATAAGCAATGGCAGGTTCACTGCCTTCCAAGGGACCATTTCCATTTCCTTTCTCTTCTTAAAGGGAAAGGATCACACCTTTTACTAAAGGGAAGTGTCTTGCAACCGTGGATTACAATTTGGATCCTACTCCTTAAAGCTGCTTTCGGAGGACGGCCTGCAGGGACCAGAGGGCCTTAAGGCCTGAAGACCAGTCTGGATATAGGAGGGTAGGCATGGAAATGGGGGTTTGGGGAGGGGGGTGCCCAGGAGAGCAGAGAGGTGTGTGGAAACATCTACCTGGGGGATGTCTGTGGGGACAGCTGGGGCCAGATAATCCTCTGATAGGAGAGCTCAATTATCCTGAGAACTCAAGTCAGCCAATGACGTGAATATGGGAGCCAGAGGGCAATGGACTCAAGGCTGGAATGTGGAGACACTAAGGGTACTCCTTCTAGTCTCTGGGGGGTGGCCACAATGTCCTCACTGTTTCTGTGAGTGAAGATGGGACGGGAGGCTCTGCTGTTTCTGGAGAAAGGAGATTGAGACACCAGAGCTGTAGCCACGGAACTCACAATATCAACACTGCTTCAAACACTCTTCAAAGCAGGAGTGCCTTATGCAGGGAAAGCAGGTACTTGCCCAATCTTGTCAAAGTGCCTATTCTAGAAGAAGTAAAACTGTCTTTATTCACAGACATCTTGTCTATGCAAAAAAAAAAAAAAAAAAAATCCTTCGTCAGAAATTCAGACTGAGGATTCTGGCAACTTGCAACCTCCAAAAAAGCTAATGTGCCAACTAGAATGCTGAAGTCAGTTTTAGGAAATACGATCAATATATTCAAATTAAAAAAGTATATATTGAAACCAGCTATTTTATATACTGGCAATACACAGTCAAAAACCTTAAATAGCATCCAAACTGTGAAATAAGTAAAAATTTGGTAAACGATGTACGAAATCTATACACAGGAAACTACAAAATACCATTGAGGGAAATTAAAGACCTAAATAAAGAGGACGAGAGATCACCTTCATGGATCAAAAGGCTCCAGGTTAATATGTCAAATCCCCCCATATTGATCTATGGAGTCAATGTACCGATCAAGATCCCAGTAATTTTTTTTTTTTTTTTTTTTAGTTAACAGGTTGATCCTAAAAGTTATATGAAAATATAGACATCTTTGAAAATGAGGAATAAAACTGAGGGCTAACACTATCTTATCCCAGTGTGAAACTGCTCAGACAGACCTGCAGGTGAAAGGAACAAAATAGAGAAAGCAGAGACTCCACACCGAGATGGACAACTGACTTCCAGCCAGTGCAAAGACAATTCAGTGGGAAAAGAACCGCCGTGTAAACAAATGGGCTGGAATTACTGAATGTCAACATGCCCAAAGCAAAACAAAAAACTACACTCAGACTTGCATGACGTACAAAAATCAACTCAAAGTGAATCACAGACCTAAATGTAAAACCTAAACACTATCCGTCTAGAAGACCAACAGCAGAAAACCTGTGTTCAGCAAAGATTTCTCAGACACTTTTCCGCCCAGAGGTTCCATTAACACCGAGGCCAGAGCACACGTGGCAGTGATAGAAATCCCCAAACCGTGTCACCCACAGCCCTGGTAACCTTGTCCCTCGCCAGGTGTCCTTCAGCTTCTGTTCAGGGGAGGGAGCCTGGTGGGAGGGGCAGAGCCTGTACTCGAGCCCAGGATCACGCTGTGGCCCCTGAGCAAGAAACCACAAAGGCTACTTCCGACTCACACTTTTATTTTTACAGAAGCAGCAGCCACACAGTCACGGGCACGTTAAGTGTTCTGAACGGTCATAGGCGCAGCGTCTGCAGCTCCAGGAGCCAACTGGGGTGGGGGTGAGCTCATGGCTTTCTCCTTGGTCCCATGATCAAGGAAAAAACTAAAAACCACACACCATACACTGCCACACCCATGCCACCCCCTCCCTTTCCTTAATATCCAATTAAATTATGTATCCTTCCAGCCAAAGAAACTGACCACAGTTCTGATTTTACAGAAAACCTTCATGCAGCCAAGAAACTTGGGGCTCTGGAGGGGACAGGCCTATTCTACTTTCACACACACCACTTACCCTCCCCTCCCGACCCCCAACCTGGGTGCCAAGTTTAACTCCACCTGAGACCACCACCTGGATGGGCAGTGATGGACTTGCCCCAAAGAAAATGCTGGTAACTCAGCTCACCAGGCATGCTTGGAAGACTGCCTCTTTCCGGGCGAGGTATTACTTGCACAAAACATTAACCTGGGGGCAGTGTGACCCCAAGACCTTCCCTTTGAAGCCCCAGGCTGCAGGGGCTGTAAAGGGCAGGATTTTGGTTTGCAGGACTAAGGACGACAGAGGATACTGGCATCTCTGGCCAGTCTCAGTGGCTCAGGGATGCACGCCCCCGCTGATGAAATGGTGGAGCTTTATCTGTTGGGGTATCCTAGCCCAGGCCTAACCGTTCCTCTACAACAAGTAGAATCATCAGTTTAACACCGAGCAGGGAGCCCACGGGCCTGCTAGGAGAACTAATGCCAGAATTCACGTGATTCCATACAAGGAAAAGATGAGGTTTCTTGTTTTTTTCATGTGCCCCCTCCAGAGACCAAATGGGTAAGGGTGGTTCCTCTGCCTCCCTAGTGCCAGGCACATGTCAGGCACTCACAGGACCATGCTAAGACGCTGCAGTGTGCCAAGCCTGGGGTGCGATGGGTGAGTATCCATCCATCAAGTGTGACTGAGGATGCTGGCAGTTCCAGCGGCAGGACTGAACCGGCCCTCAAGCCACAGATGCACCTCTCTGAAGACGAGATGGGAGCTGGGCCAGCCTGAGGAATGACAAACCCCAAGTGTCCAGGCGGGTCATTTATCTTTCCTCTGACCGGCAGGCCCCCTGGGTCTCGCAGCCCAGTACTGAACAATGATGTTCTTCTGCAGCAGAAGGGGCCCAGGGAGGTGTTGTCTGCACTGATGAGGCAGCCCCAGCCCAGGGATAGTCGATTTCCCCACAGCTGCACAGCCCACTGACAACAGAGCAGGGACTGAGCCCCGTCTCCTGATGCCTGATTCAGGCACAGACTAGCACAGTTAACTTCAACTTCCCTCACGTGACACAATTCTTTCTCCGCTTCTGGGCAGTTCTTAAGATGGAGTTGCGTAAACAACCAAGCTTTCATAGGTGGGGAAAGGACTAGGGAGGTTCCCGTCTCTCTGGGACGGAAACGGAGCTAACGTTTCTCTGAGCTTAGGATTTATAAGGCACTGAAATTAACTACAGCCGGGGGTGAGGGAGAGCAAAAAAAAAAAAAAAGGTGAGTGGTTGGACAAAATCAAGCTGATGCTCTTTTCTCTCAGCCCCACAGTGGGAATCCTCATGAAACATAACCATGGTGGCCTCCATTTCCCGCTTGGTGTGGCCCACCCCCATGCCACAGAGCAGCACCCCGATCGGGACTTAAGTGGGCTCTGACGACAAGAGGGCTGAGAGCCAAGGAGCCCAGATCTTCTAGATCCAATTCAGAGCAGAAATGACAAACACCACCTGGGTAGGGGGCCCCAGGGTGAGGGTGGAGCAGGATTCAGCCCTGAAACATCCTTACCAGGGCCACAGTCCCCTCTGGGGACCTGGGTGATGTCTGGGCTGGGGGATGGGGGGCTACAAGCCTGAGCTCAAAGAAGGAAGGGGCAGGACATCCCCAGGGATGGCAGCATGTACTTTGGAATAAGACCCAGCTTTGGCACGGCACACCTTGGCCTTCCTACCCAACTGCTGCCCTCTCGAGGTCCCAGACCTCATTCCTCCTTCCAGCGAGGAACTCCTTCGGTGGACGGAAGCAATGGTGGTGCAACTCCAGGGCATACCCTTCACCTTTCCGGCCAGCCTGAGTGCCAGGGGCCTGACACGGAGGCTTTCTGGCTCCGCGGCTGAATTCAGCAAGCACTTGGGTCAGATGCAAGGCCGAGTGGAAGCGCTGGTCATAACTGTCACTTATTCAGCACCTCCATGGTGGCATGTACTTAACTCAGGTGTCGGCAGCCTGCGGCAGGTATTGTTGCCCCCTTTCAACAGGTGAAGAGCCGGGCTCAGAGGGGTTAAGTGATTTGCCCAGAGTCACACAGCTTATGAGTGGCTGAACTGGGAAATGAACTCAGGTTAGTCTGACTCCAAAGCCCACGTCCTCTCCACTCCGCTAGGCTGCCCAGGACGCCGGGGGCAAGCTGGGGCTGTCCGGGTGGGATGTCTGGAGGGGCTTCTTGCACAAAGTGTGGATCTGGGGAAGCAGCCAAGCTTGAGTGGCAGGAGGAGGCCCCCCGGCCCTGGGGCCAGCATCCGTGCACTCATCTGTCTTGCGGGCGGCTCAGTGCCGGGCGGCCTTGCAGATCTTGTCATATACCTCGGGGAAGGCGTCCTGGCAGCCGAGCTGCTTGCGCAGCTTGTGGTACAGGGAGCCATCAAACATCTCCCAGAACTCCTCCCGGTTCATGTAGCAGTCAGCATACAGCATCTGGAAACTGCAGGGTAGAGACAGGTGTGAGAATGTGGGGAGGTGGCATCGGGGGACAGGCGGGGCAGAGGGCGCGAGAAGCCCTGTTGTCCCGAATGAGCAGCTGCTTCACAGGTCAGGAAGAACTTTCGGAGGGTTTGACTTGTTACACAGCCCCTGATGACCTAGAGGTTGTGGGAGTGCAGGACTGTTACTCCCATTTTGCAGATGGGGAACTGAGGCTGAGGGCACTGGTGTAGCCGTGGCGCAGAGCAGTAGAACTCTCTCTGCTGGGCTTCTCCCCAGCATTCAGCGTCCCCCAGGGTCAGCTCCCTGCCAGGGCCACACAGGCAGATATTTAAAGTGCATCTTGAGAAGTCTGATGGGTGCCCACGGCCTAGAAACACCCCCTCTGACCCCACAGCAGCCACCTCCACCCCCACGCTCGGCCAGCCCAGGCAGATCTGCTTTGAGTCACCATGGGTTTTCTGGAAAAGGTATAGAAATGGCATCATATGGTGTGCTTTTAATCAGTGCAATCCTTTTGGATTTTGCCCAAGTTGCTGACATCAGTGGTGGTTTCTGAGCAGTGCTCTGTCTTGGGAACTCTGTGTGGAGTTTGTAGCTGTGAATCCTTCCCCCCTTGGCTTTGCTCTTCCACCCTGGAGTAGTGGCTTCTGAAATGAGCAAAGCCTTGCCTCGCATGTGCCCAGGCAGGGGGCTGTGGGGGCGTTCACAGGGATGCAGGAAGAGGGCAAGAAGTCCTGTAAGCCCAGGTCCTTACCTGGACTTTTACCTCTAGCTTTCCCAGTTAGAGGCTGTGCGGCCAGAGTCCCTGGGTGGCCAGCCTCACTCTCAGCCCAAAGCTGGCTACCTGGTCCAGGGCACAGGCAGCCTCTCCCTGCACCCCACCCCCCGCCCCCAGCAGCACCCCCACTCACCCATGCACACTCCGGACGAACTTCTCCAGCTGTCTCATGCAGGATCTGGCCTCAAAGTGTTTCACACGCGGCTCCCCATAGGCACCGATGTCCACATAGAGCTCTGCCTCATCCCCCTTCGGGTGCACCAGGCCCGGCTGGCTGGGCAGAATGAAGGGGCACAACCAGATGGGGTAGACCTGGGGGACCAGAGAGGGGGGATGTTGGTGCTTGGTCTCCAATATGGGGCAGGCACAGGACTAGCATGCCCCTTTGCCCCCCACAAAGGGAAGTTATACAACTTCTTCCGGGACCCCTTTCTCTAGTTGCTCACATCTTCTCCCCCATCCCCCCAAGACCTGGATGATAGCACCCTAATCTAGAGGACATAGTCTGAGCAGTTCAGCCTGCTCAGTACCAGGCCCTGTGACTTCTGTCCCAACCCGGGGCTATGGCTAGGGAGGGGCACTTAACCCTTGGAAAAGCCGCGGTCCAGAGGGCAGGACTGCCCAGTCAATCACTTGGCTTGGGAAGGAGCCAGTGGAGTCCAGGAGGGATGGCCCCAGCTGGCCGCCACTCACATGGATGTCATTGTGGAAGGTGTGCAGGGCCTGCGGCAGGCACTTCATGGGCACCAGCATGTCCTGGACCACGTGGTGCTGCTCATACAGCTTGCGCAGCGTCTCTCCTTGGGTCAGCTTCAAGAGGGAGATCTTGGGAGGCACCATCCAACCAAAGAGGTAGCGAAAGATGGGATTGTTGCCAAAGGGAATGATATCCTGCAAGATGAAAGTTGGGAATGGAGAGAAGGGATCAGCAAGGGCCACTTCTCTGAGCTCTGTTTTCTTAATTATAAGATACAAGATACTAGAGGGAAGGCACTCAGCGCAGTGCCTGGAGCAAAATGAAAAGGGAGCTGTGATGGCTGCTCTGAGTGTTGAGGTCGAGGTCGGTGCTAGAACAGCAGGAATTCCAAAATATTTGAGAAACAAATACTGTTGAAGGAGAAGGATACCCAGAGAGGTCAAGCAATTTCTCTAAGGTCACACAGCAGGGACAGGTCTTACTGGGACAGGTAAGGTCTGACTCCAGTTCTGGAACCCTTTATTTAAAATGTCACTGCTCCCCAACCCTTCACACACAACAGCAAATTCCTGTCCACCTCTGAAGGCTAAGCTTGAGGATGCCACCTACGTCTAGGCAGAAGCAGCTACTTCCTGTTCCCGAGCCCTGCCCAGCGCCAGCCTGCCTGCTCTCCCACCCCTGGCTCTGGAAATGCTCCCCAGCACAGCTGTCCTTCCTCTTCCAAGCCTCCAGCCACACAGAGAGCGAGCTGTTGGAGGTACCGGGTGCCCAGCCTCCGCTCACAGGCAGTCGCCTTAGGCTAGCCCCTTGGAACGAGGGGCAGCTGAGCGGCCAGGTGAGACAGGTGGGTTAAGGAGAGCTCTTGCTTCTGCAGTCTCACTTGCACCCTGGTCCTCCTGGGAAGGTGACATGGAAGGAGACACAGGGAGAAGAGACATGCAGGGACACTTCAGAGACATGTGGGAGCTGACAGTGGCAGCCACTATCTCCATGCTGAACCGACTTTAATCCTAGCTTTCTGGAACCTACTTCAGAACCCCTTTCCCAAGCTTCCCTACAAGGTGCCTGAGATTTGTGGCAAGCTTTTGGGGCCTCGCTTCAGGCCCACCCTGTTTGGCTGGGCATTTACCCATGAGGGGCTGGGTAATTTTGGAATTGGTGTGCATAGTTTCATTGGGAAGCTACTATTGTTATTTCTCACTCTATGCGCGCTGATTTTCTTTTTCCCAGAGATTTTTTTTTTTTTTAAGATTTAAAAAAAAATTATGCATACAGAACTGGGGTACAGGCCAGAAGTGCAGGGGCGGTAGGAGAATTTACCAGAGACAGAGTGGGGAGCAGACCAAGCAAATCGATGAAGGGAGCAGCGGGCAGGTCAGGAGAGGTCTGCCACGCCATGGGGTCAGCTCCCATTGGGAACCAAATTCCATGGAAGCAGCTACAGCCAGCTTCCCAGTGCTGTGCTTTAACCCACTGTGCCATCAGGGAGGGCCCTATGCTCATTAATTCTATAAAGTTCTTTCATACCAAGTATCTGGTTTGCCTTTGTGTGAATGGATGGCCAGACCTCTTCAGTGTATGCAAATTGGGGAGCCCTGGGGGTGCCACCTCATTTAGCACTGCTGTGTTCTGATGACACCCTCTGTTCCCCACCAGCTCCTCCATCGTGCCCATTAGCTGGCAACCCTCTCACCCCTAATGGTGAAGACACAGCTCCCTGCTCACCATCTTCCTGGTCATTGCCAGTGCTTACCCGAGACACAGCCCCACCTGACAGCTCCTGGGCCCCTGAGGCCAAAGACCCTCCTTCATCAATTACCAGGGGCCCAACAGGTCAAGTACCAGGTTCTGTGCTGGGCAAGGGGGAAGCCAAGCTCCCCGAGGCAGCCATAGGACTAGTGCACGAAAGTGGGACAAAGAGATACAGAGGCAGCCCTTCAGACTAGGGGCTGGTGGCTTCCCACAGAAGCCACTGAACACAGGTGACTTCCACTCGCTGGAATTCCCTGCTCAAGAGGGAGGGACCTCTCTGCTCTCTTCTCTGTAAGAGCCAACGCATAGCATAGCTTTTACTGTTCCCTTGACTGTTTTTGGAAGCCGCACATGTGCATAGCAGAAATCCCAACAGTACAAAGATTAAGCCTTCTTTCGTTAGCCCTGACCCTACTTCATTCTGCTCCCTCGTCTGACCTCTTTCCCCTCCCCAAAGGCAACGACTATTGTGATTTGTGGACACTTTTAGAGACATAGGATGCATACACAACAGATGGGCTTTAGTAGCATCTTGTGGCCACCTGTATATCCCAGTAGCCAGTACATCAGCACATGGAGCCCTAAGCGTACACTGTCCTGCAGGAGTCCATGAACTATGGCCCCAGGACAAATCCAGCCCACCCTCTGATCTCTCAATAAAGTTTTATTAGCACAAAACCATACCCACTCATTCACCTTCTAGATCTCTCAATAAAGTTTTATTAGCACAAAACCATACCCACTCATTCACCCTCTGGATTTCTCAATAAAGTTTTATTAGCACAAAACCATACCCACTCATTCACCCTCTGGATCTCTCAATAAAGTTTTATTAGCACACAACCATACCCACTCATTCATCTACTTATTGTTTCTGGCTGCTTTCAGGGTGGAAGGGCAGGGTAGCTCCTAGATAGACAACCTCAATGCTTACTTGGTCCTTTGCAGAGGCTTGCTGACCTCTGTTCTACTGTAAGGACGCACCTTAATTCATGTTACCAGTCCTGTATCAATGGATTCAGATTATCCCGATGAATATCCTTGATCTGTCTTCACTCATTTATATGTACATCCAACTATAAATTTCTAAAGTGGAAGCTCTGTATGTACAATTTTAACGGGCACACTTCAGGAGCCAGTGCCATGGCAGACTCGCCCAGAAGAGGGAGCAGGGCGGGCCCAGTGTGTCCTGCCCCCACCGCCTCGCCAGCACAGCACGAGATGTCTGGGTCTCTGCCATTCTGATAGGTGAGAAGTGAGACTCCTCAAGTTTCCTTCCACTGCTCTTTAATTCTGAGTTGAGGCTGCATTTTTTCCCCCTCACATTTAAAAGCCATTTGCATGCCCTCCCCTTTGCTAGTCAAAAAGGCCAACCAGCCCACATTTTCCCCGGCCCACATTGCAACCTCGGAGTTCAAGTTTGCGTCCTGCCCAATGCTCTACCCCGCTCTTCACCCTGCTGCCTGAGTGACCAGGGTCCTGTGTCCCTGGCTTCCCTCCTGGCTCTTTCCCCTACACAGCCCTTGTCCTTTATCTATGTCCAGTCTGTGACTGGCTCGTCTGCTCTGCTGGGTTTCATGACAGGTCAGAGCGACCCAGCCTGGGCAGGACCCTCAACTGAGGCAGGCCCTGTGACAACAGCATTCCATACAGCAGGCCCAGCAGGGCCTGCTTGTCCTCTTACTGGTGTGACCTACTGGATCCTTGTGTGGGCCAACTACTGAGGCTGGCTGAAAGTGATGATGGACAGGGGAAGGGAAGACAGGGCTATCCAGAGTCCCTGATCTTTTCTGTCTTTCCTTACTCACCTGTAGACCCCGTGGAGTGCTGGCAGAATGTGCATGTCAGCAAGAAATGAAACCTAAACAGGTGAGTGAGTGTAGTGCAGCATTTCCAGGGGTCCTCTAAGAGCCCATTACACACGCTCTCATATTTGTATTTTAAAGCAGGTACATTCATGCTAGTCATTTAATTTTTTTAATTTTTCTTTACTTAGGACATTAAATAGCAAGTACTTCTTATGAGAGACCACAGAACTGCTACAGGGTAGCCCAGAGTGGACTGGGCCTCACCCACGCACTCACAATTCAGTTATACTGCAGGTACACACAAAAGGGTCAATAACGGGTTTAGTTACAAAAGGGGAAAGGAATAGGAAACAACCCAGGGAAAGAGAGCAGGATACAAAGTAATTGGAATACCTTAAGGCTAGGCTGAACGCACAGTCTCATGCGGTCAGGAGAGCTGCTTCCCCAGCAAAAGCGAGAGATGCAATCGCACCCTATATATTCCCCAAATGTCCCAGAATTCCTGCTAGCTCTGCCCTTGGGTCCTCACAGTTCTCTCCCTGGTACTGCTGGGAGTTGTAGTTTCCAATCACTGGAGTAGGGTGTAGGGTCCAGAAAGCTGGAGTAGGGGGTGGAGTCCATAAGACTCTGCAGAGTTCCTTTAGGACATCTTTCCTCTTAACAGAAGGAATGCCTTTAGTGCCTTTAATGTCTCTTTTTTTTCCCCTGCTTTTTGCACTGGACTCTGTAAATTAACTGATCCTGATCCCAAATATTGTTGATTGAGAGGGGGAAAGAAAGACCTGAGTCAACAGGGCGTGGCAGGTGTGACAGGAATGGACTGATTCTCTAGAAAGCTGATTCTTAAGGGTTAAGCCCCAGGCCTGGAACATTTGGTTCACTGAGGGGGCCCAGCTAGGCAGGGAGGAAATGAGGACAGAATCGCTAACAGGAAGAGGAGCTAACCTGGGAGAGAGAGAGGGGCAAAGGCATATGCTTGAAACTGCTTATCACTTTCTTTCTAGAAGTATCCTGGCTTCTGCACTTCTATTGTAAAGGATGCTGTGGAGCTCCTCCACTCAGGTGGTCCCTGCAGGAAAGTGCACATCCCCCCATTGTGGGGGTGCTGGCTGCAGACCACCAGCTAACCCCTCTCCAGCTAATTGCCCTTGGCTAAAGGCAGCTTAGTGTCCAAGGTCCTTCTGCTTCTCCAAGGGTCGTGTGTGTTGTGCCTGGCTGATGAGGTGAAGCCCAAATGGTATGGAGGCCCAGCCCAGCCAGAGCTCCCTGGGGGTCAGCTGAGGCCTTTACTGTGATTGCAACAGCTCGGCTGCTCCCTCCACCTGCCCTGCTTCCTGTCCCTCATAGCTGAGGCTCCAGAGAGTTCCCCAGAATAAACTTCCTATGTGCAAGTCTTAGCCTTAAAATATCCATCCTTGAAGATTCTTCTTTTAACTTCAGAAATTACAGGCCAGTGTTGAAAGCACAAGACCATAAGACAAACCTCACTTGATTCCTAAATCTGTGATTTAAAACCTGTCCAGATAGTCTTTGCTACTCTCTTCTCTCTAAATCACAGTGATTTTCTTGCAGCTCAGACCAGAAGCCCACTCTGGTCGCTCAGCACACAGAGTTCAAGCACTGGACACACTGTTCACCTTCCTTCCCGACACAGTGCCCTCTCTGGGTCTCTTGGAAACCAGTTCTCCCAGGTCCCCTCCTGCCCTCTGACTGTCTTCTCCTAACCTGCAGGGTGCCCCAGGGCCTGGTTCTGGGACCTTCCTTCTCCACCCTCCCTCATCTACTCCCATGGCCGCTGATGTCCACCTGGTGTGCAGCTTCCGGCCAGTCCTGGGGAAGGGCTGCCTGCTCAGCATCCCACCGATGTCTGAAAGCCATCTTGGATGCATGTGTCCGGGACCAAACTTGCAGTTTCCCTTCCCACATGCCTCTCCCACATCACCTATGGCAGTCAATGGCATCTCCAATCACCTAGTTGCTTGGGCCCCCAAACTTGGAATCACACCATGGCTAATCTGTCAGGAAATTCTTTTGGTTGGGGCCTTTCCTGTAGCACAGCACTTCGAAGCTGTCTGCAGCCACTATAGCATGAGTTTGATCCCTGGCCAGGGAGGTGACCACATGGCGCGGCAGACCTCTCCTGACTCGCCCACTGCTCCCCGCATCAGCGTACTTTGTCAATCTGCCTGTTCTGCTCCCCGCTCTGTCTCTAGTGAATCCTCTCACCCCCCACACCTCTGGCCTGTACCCCAATTCTGGTACGCATACATAACATAAATCTTAAAAAAAAAAAATTTTATTGGTTGAGTCAATCTTCACACTTACCTCTCAGATCTGATACTTCTTTCCACCTCCACTGCTATCTCCCTGGACAATAAAATCTTTCTTCTATTCTTCCATTTCTGTCCACCCTCCCATACTATCTCCACCCTCCCATCTATTCTCGAGTTCAGGGTTATTCTTAAAAAAAAAAAAAAAAAAAAAAAATCAGGTCATTAACTTTTTGTGTGTGCAAAGCCCTCTGATGACATCTTATGCTCAGAATATTAGCTCATACAATATATAAAGCTTAACGAAAAATGAATCAACAACGTAAGTATAGGAGCTGAAACCACAGTGTTCTTAGAAGAAAACACAGGACTAAATCTTCATGACCTTTAACTCAGCAATGGATTATTAGATATTACAATAAAGGCACAAGGAACAAAAGAAAAACAGATAAGCCATATGTGATCAAAACTAAAACTGTGGGCCCTCCTTGGTGGCGCAATGTGAGGCGCAGCATTGTGAGGCTCTCTGCAGCCACTGCAGCACGAGTTCAATCCCCGGCCAGGGAGGTGACCCACATGGACAGCAGACCTCTCTTGGCTCGCCCGCTGCTGCCCTCAGCAGTGTATTTCAGTGGACCTGCCTGTTCTGCTCCCCACTCTGACCCTGGTGAATCCTCTCATCCCCCACAGGTACTTCTGGCCTGTACCCTAGTTCTTATATGTATAAATAAATAAATAAATAAATTTTTTAAAAAATCTAAAAATGTGTGCACATTGAGGACATTCCCGAAGAAGTGAACAGAAAGCCTACAGAATGGGGGAAAGTATCTGCAAATCATGTATCTGTTAAGAGTCTAGAAAACTTACAACACACCCACACACAAATAAACCCAATTACAACTGTGCAAGGAGTGAACAGGCTACTCCAAACCACACAAATGGCCGACAGCATATAAACGGATGCTCGGCATCATTAGTCATTAGGGGAAATGCAAAACCATGATGAAATTCTACTTCACCCCCATTCAGACAGCTATAATTAAAAAAAAAAAAAAAAGCAACGAAACTAGCTAGTGTTGGTGACAAAGTAGAGAAACTGGAACCTTCATATACAATTGGTAAAATGTGTGTGCCATGGTGGAAGAGTTTGGCAGTTTCTCACTAAGTCAGACACTGAGTGACTGCATGACCCAGAAATGTCACTCCTACGCACATACCCAAAGAATGGCAAACTAGTACTCAAACACTTGTACATGAGTGTTCATAGCAGTGCAATGCCAACAGGTAGATCCATCCACATGTCTGCCCACAAGTGAGTGGAAAAACAAAACGTGGTGTTTCCACACAGTGAAGTATTCGCCAGCTATTTAAATGGAAATGATGGACAGCCACATATTGCTTAGCAACAGGGATACAGTTTAAGAAATATGATTTCATCCCTGTATGATTATCACAGTCCTACCTATAAACTAGACAGTATTGCTCCTGGGACCACCCCCTGGCCCTTTGTTGATTAAATGTTATTATGTGATGCATGCCTGTGCCAATATAACCTTCCACGGGAGTGGGCCTAGAAAACATGATGCTCCATGTTTTCAAACCAGACACAAAGGCCACACGTTCTATGCACCCACTGATGTATCCTATCCAGGATAGGCAAATCCATAGAGACAAGTCTGGGGGACGAGAGTGGGGGAGAAGGGTGGAGGTGGAGCAACTGCTTAATGGGGAAGGAGTTTCCTCCTGGAGTAATAACAGTGTTTGGAACTAGACAGACACGAACATTCTAAACACCACTGAATTGCAGACCTTGAAACGGCTGGTTTACATTATGTGATTTCACGTCAACCTTTAGAAAAAAGAAAAAATATAACCCTGGCAATCTGAAGCCCCGTGCTTTGGGGCCGCCTCTGCTTGGGGTGCCCTCCCCTGTAGTTCTGCCTGACTTATTCTCCTGAAGCTCAGGTCTCTGTTAACAACTCATCTCCTGAGAGGCCTTCCCTGACCCCCCTACTTGAAGCATCACTGCTCCCCAACTCTCCACACACCATAGCAACTTCTTGCACACTGCTCAAGGCCCAGTGTGCTGGTGACCTCTGGCCCTCGGCAGAACTAGCCACTTCCTGTCCCAGAGCCCTACACAGAGCCCATCTGTCTGCTTGGCCAGGCTTCAGTTCCGGGTGAGTGTTCCCCCAAAGTACCTGACACAGAGCCCCATTCCCTGGCACAGATGTTCAATGAGAGCCTGCTGCTAAGGGAAGATGGTGGATTCCCTTAAAAGGAAACCGACAGCATCTCCTTGAGGGTGTTCCAGTATCCTAGGCCTTGTCCCTGAAGGGAGAGTGTGGCTGCCATGTTACCATCCTGGTTCCCTGCCCGGCCGGCTTGGAGGAGCCAGGGCTATTGAGAAACATGAGCCTCACCTGGAGCTCCCAGAAGATGCTGCGCGTGTGCCGGTGGTAGTAATGTCTCAGGGGAATGTATTCCAGGCCCTCTCGGTTTGTCTTCAGGTAGTTCTCCACGTGCTTGAAGAACCACGGCTTGTAGTAATTGCCAATGCTATTCAGCTGAAATGACAGAGGGCACCGTGTCAGCCACAGACAAGGCGGAATGACGTCAGGGTGTAACGGCGATACCCACTTCTCTTCAGCACTCCTGGCCTTTTCAGAGCTCTCTCCTGTCTATTATTGCTTATGAGACTCTGAAAGCCTGGTGAGGTTAAGCACAGCAGGGATTCACTAGCAGAGAGCGCAGAAGCTCAAAGAGGTTAAGTGGTGTGTCCAGGACCCAACAGCTCATTCCTGACCGCTGTCTAGAGAGCGCAGCAACCTCATTTTAGACCGCGCCTGCTTCCCGAGGACAGACCCCAAGGCTGGGTGTGGAAGGGCATCTCCACAATGCGTGCTCCAGGCAGGGGCGTTGCTCCCACAGAGCCCAGATGTCTCCTCTTCACTGGATGGAGCTGACAGCACTAATTAACTGGGACACTCTCTCTGCTGCCCCAGGCTAAACCCACAACCATCTGGGCTCAGCACTGCCTCCCCGCTCCCCGGCAGCCACCCGCGGGCGTCCACATGCCTCCCCAGCGCCACCTGCAAGTGCAAGGTGTCCTGGGATGATTTAGCTTCTCTGGGTTTCAGCTTCCTTAACTGCAAAAGGAATCTGGGCAGGTGCTTTCAGGACAAAGCACAGAGGCTGCCTGGTGGGGCGGCAGGGGCAAGAAGCTGGCTCAGTCACCCACTAGCTGCGTGACCTCATCTCTCCAGAATGTTTCTCTACCTGCACACGGTAGTGAACTTGTATCCTTTGTGTAAGTTTTGTTGTGCCTATTAGATATTACACCCACACCCAGGCCCTGTCAGACCAGCTGCTTAAGGGGAGTGGGCATGTTTTATGGGGCAGGTAACATCATACCCATTGGGCCCTGGGAAGGGTTAGGAAGTCCTGGAGGAGACGAGAAACGTAGCCAGGGACCATCCAGGAGGGAAACAGAAGCAGAGGCAAAGCGAGTGAACCTGGGAAGGGGCGTGGAGAATAATCATGACCACACGCTCGGTGCCTGTGCACAGGCCAGGCCCACCAGCCAGTCAGTTCTCCAGCCCCTCTACCTTGCATGGCTACCTCACTGATGAAGAAACTGAGAACCATCAAGGTCCAACAGATCACCTGAAGCCACAGGCTGGCAAGAGGCAGGACATAAAGACTCAAACCATACCACGCTGCAAACCAAGCCAGGGCCAGATGGCAGACACCTGGCGTGCTCTGGAATGTGGGCATTATTAAAAACAAACAAACAGAAAATGTTTTTCTGATTCCAAAAGCAACATAAACTCTATGAAACTTAAAACACTATAGAAATATGTAATTAGGAAAAGAGAAAGTCCACTTGCCTCAGCCTTGAGGGGATCAAAAGTTGGCTTATATTCAGTAGGTTTTATTTTCTGGGTACAGACACACAGATTTAGAAAATTAGGACCATCCTGTGTGGACTATTTGCCAGCTTGCTTTTCCCACTTAGAACACACGAGGCCGGCCTGTGTCCTGTCACTCAGCCTCTCTGTGGCTCATCTCTGTACAGGCAATAGGGACACCTGGCTGACCCACTGGACTGGCTGGGAAGACTGAAAACTAAAAAGTGCCCCACTCGTAGTGGGGACACACTGTTCTTGGACCCACACTGGCCTTTCACCCCTTCCTACCCCTACCCTGGTGCCAGGCAACCTCCATCTCTGGCTTCCAACCCTTGCTGCCTAGCTGGGTACAGGCCCACTGTGCTGGCAGGTCGCTGCACAGAGGACAGGGGCCATGATGTGCCAGGAACTGGAGCTTAAGAGCCTGTTTGTCCAAGCCAGTTTCAGTGTGGGTAGCGTGGGACAGGGCAAAAGACACTACAGGCTGGCTTGGCCTGCCGAGCAGGAATATAGCAACCTGATCTAAACCCAGGTGGGGCCTGGCCACACACCTCTTTGGCACCAGCTGCATAATGAAATCAAGACTTCATCAAGGTACCTGATGCTCCAGGCCTTACAGTCCATCTCGCTATAGGTGCTGTCCAAGTTCCAGTTCAGTACTTAGCTAGCCAACTACTTCCTCTCTCTGGGCTATCCTATAAAAGAAGGGTGGGCTGCCTCCCTGCAGGGCCAGTGAGCCTGCCCTGAGTGTCCGCTTCTCTGATTCCCAAGCAGCCTTAAACTAGAAGCAGTTCTCCTCAAACAAAAGAGCATGGTCTCCTTGGAGGAGAAGCATGTTCAAACATCTCCAAAGGGCATGACTTCCTCTGCCTAGTTGTAACCTGGAAAGGGATCTAGAGCAGCAGATGACAGAATAGTAGTGGGTCTGGTGTTGCCTTTGACCCCCCCTTCCTCAGTTTATCGCTCCCGGCAGCCTCTAGGGCAGTGTCTCAGAGAAGCTGGTGTTACAGGGCACCCCAGTATGAACTGGGCTTGCCTGTCTGTGGGGCCTCATCCGCGCGCTTAAAATTCAGACACACACAAAAGGGTCAATAATGGGTTTATTTACAAAACGGGAAAAGAAAAGGAGACAACCCAGGGAAAGAGAGAAGGATGCAAAATAACTGGAATATCTTGCTGGCTCGGCTGACTTGAAGCCCTAGTAACAAACTAACTGAAAGCCCTGAGTCACGTGGTCCTGAGCACCGTTTCCCAAGCAAAAGCTGTAGAAAATGGCGCCCTATTTATCCTCCAAAGTCCCAGAATGCCTGCTTAGCTCCACCCTTGGGTCCTCACAGTTGTCTCCCTGGTACTGCTGGGAGTTGTAGTTTCCAATCACTGGAGTAGGGGGTTAAGTCCAGAAAGCTGGAGGTGGGGCTGGAGTCCACAAAACTCTGCAGAGTTCCTTTCGGACATCCTTCCCCTTAACACTGGTACGGCTCTGGCCTAGACATCTTGGTCAGGTCAAAGGTGCTGAGTGACCCACACTGACCAGGCTGGGCCGGTGTAAAGCTGAGCCGGGGCCCTTGGACTAAATGCTCTGCCTTCCCACTCCTGCTCCAGGATCCCATCCCCCATGCTGCACAGGGCCCCACAGGGAACGGGGCTCCAACCATGCTTGTGGATGAGGCCAAGTTCTCAAGGTTGGAAGGTAGACAGAGATCACTAAAGCAGGAGTCAAAGACCCAAGTTTAAAACTGCCTGAGCTAGCTGTGTCTTCAAAGCAGTCCCTTTCTCTCCCATTCCCTTTGGAGAAGGGACTGCACCAGATGATTTTCAAGTGCTTTCCAGTTCTAAAATATTTTAGGTATGTGGGTATTGAAGCATCTTAAGAGTACATGGGGCCTCCCTGGTGGCGCAACGGGTTAGCCACTTGAGGCTAGCTGCAGCTACTTCAGCACAAGTTCAGTCCCTGGCCAGCGGGGTGGCCCACAAGGTGCAGCAGACCTCTCCTGTCTCCCCTGCTGCTCCCCTCTGCAGTGTACTTCGTCAGTCTGCCTGTTCTGCTCCCCACTCTGTCTCCGGTGAATCTTCTTACCCCCTACACTTCTGGCCTGTACCCAGTTCTGTATGCATAAATAAATAAATCTTAAAAAAAAAAAAAAAAAGAGTACCTATCCTTTGATCTGCTCATTCTACTTAAGATATTAGTCAAATCATAACAAAAGATACTCACTGCTACACTAATTAGAATCATGAAAAACTGGAAGCAATTTGAAATTTCAATTATGGGGCACTGATTTAGTCAGGATGGACTTTCACTTAATGCCCCTGTTCCAGTCATTTTGACAGTTTAGAAAACACAGTGGCCGCAAAGTGAAGAGCTCATCACAATACAAAGAAAAGAGAAATGTGAACAGAGGATCACAACTGAAGACCAAGAGACTGAAAAACCGCACAAGGATATGTTCAACCTTGTAATTAACCCGAGAATCGCAAAATAATACGAGACACTATTTTTAACCCTATCAGATGGGCAAAAATGAAAGAGCAATTCTATCTGGTGTTGGCAGGGACACGGGAAAGGGCATCTCACCACCCTGCAGTGCCCACAGCACAGCTTTCTTAGAGGCCCCTTGGGGACTGCTGTCAGCACAGGCACCTCCACATCTTGTGGCCGCTCCCGTGAAATGTCACAATAGAGTTGAATGTTTTGGTTTCTCAGTGCATAGTTTACACTTTACTGAATCCAAGAAGTGTGTAAATGGGACCCAGAGGTAAGAAGTGAGCGTTTGCTGTTAGAAAGATGGCACCAGCAGACCTGTTCAATGCAGGGCTGCCATCATCTCCTATTTGTAAAGAAAAAGGCGGCATCTGCAGAGTGCAATGAAGAGGAACTTAAAGGAAACTGAAAGGAGCTACCCCTGTATTTAATGTGCTCAAGCCCTTAGGACGGCAATTCCATTTTTCTGGTTTGAAACCTTTAGAGGCCACAGATAGACATAAGAGAATCTTCAACGTGATCTTGCTTGTAAGAGCAAAATATTTATGTAATATAATTGCTCCTCAGTAAGCAATGAGGTTAATTATTTACATGCAAAATTGTATTCTATGGAATGAAATGAGGGCTCGGCCACACACCCATAACCACAGACACAGGCCGTGACGAATGCACACCATTCCGAGGGGGTGTGCTTACTCCAGGAGGGAGGGGTAGGGCGGGGAATGTGCTTTAGCTTTTCCTGTCTATAATTCAACATATGTATCCATAATTCAATGTATGACACTCACTTTTGTGATTTAGAAACTTTAAAGAAACATCTAAGTACTGCACCAGCAGAGGGGAAATAAATAGACTGATCACCCAACACAGCTGGCTCTGCTTTGTGGTTTTAAGTCGTCTTCTCTTAGTACTTGTCTACAACTCTCTCAGGCTCATGTAATAAGGACAAATCCTTTCTAAATGGAGGGAAAACCTATTACAAATTGCACAGTGTGTGTTGTAGGAGGGGCAATCTGGATTCTGAAGCATCAAATGAATGCATCAAATCTTGGCTGCACAGTTCTGAAGCTCAAAGGGTCTCTTGGACTCCATCTCCTCATCTACAAGATGGGGTTGTGAGGCTCAAAGATCACACCTAGCAAGTCACGCAGGTGGAAAGGTGGAGGCAGAGTAAAGGGGTGCTTCCATCCCGGCCTACGGGAGCTCTGATGAGAAGATCCTCGGGCCCGAGGCCCAAGTGAGCTGACCCAGGACACAGCATTAACAGGGTAGCTGCAGGATGGGGGCGGGGCTGTGGCTCCACCCACACACCCAGGCGTCCTCCTCCCTGGACCTTTTCCAGGGCAGCTGCTGCCCCGCCTACCTTGCTGGGTTCTGCCTCATCCGTCAGGACCCCAGTCATGATGACAGCCTCATCCAGGGAGTAGAGCAGCCCTTCCACGAAGTGGTTCTCCAGCCGCTGGGACTCGCGGGTGAACGTGTCACAGATAGCCTCCAGGCCTCTCACGGGCTCAAACCGCAGCTTGACGTACTTCTTGGCAGGGATGATGCGAATCTCGGCGGCCACCAGGAAGCCCAGGGTCCCACAGGACCAGGGCACAGCATAGAACAGGTCTGAATTTTCCGACTGTGAGGGAGTGGACACATGCCAACAACTTGAATTCTGGACCCCACGTTACTACACATGGTCAACAGAGGCAAGAGGAACCAGGCTAAACTCCTGTTCTATCACCTTCTCGTGTAAACTCCAAGAAGGAACTTTGCAAACTGTACTTTCTGGACCTCAGTTTTCCCTCCGCAACTTCTGCATGACATTTGACCTTCCATTGCCCTCTATCAGGGATGCCCGCAGAGAGTGACTCTTCCTCCACTGGGCAACCCCTGGCCTACTCACGGTGAGGCCACAAGCCCACTGCCCACAGACCCAAAATGGGGCACTGAAGGTCAGGGTTGAAGGGGACACTGAAATGCCTCCTTCTCGGTTATTACCTACCCACAATCACAAAGCCTTCCCACCCATTAGCTGTGGATGGGCCCTCCACACCCAACATAGCCTAACGAGAGCAGAAGCACTCCCACCTGAACAGGTAAGGAAACAAGGTGCTCAGAGGGGACATGGCTCAGCCAAGGCTCTCCAGAAGTCAGTGCAGTGATGCCAAGACCTACCCCCACCCGGCATTTAACTGCAACACCTCATCTGGCTCTCCAAACCTGCTTCAAATGCTCATTTTCTTCTTCTGGTATTTGTCTGGGAAACAGACAGCTGACTTTCCATCTGGCCATTTAAATTCAGATTCTTTTATTATAATCAAGCTCCTTGTGAAAAGGAATGGGGTACAGCTGGGCTAGGGGGTGGACTAGGGAAGCTCTGCAGGACAGAAACCTCCAGAACAGCAGAAGTGAGCCAAGTTAGTACCTATGGGCACCCCCACATGGGGTGTCTGTCAGATGGCAGCAGTAATAACCAGGTGCCTGCCTGTGTCCAGACCTATGCTAGAAGCTTCTCCCAAGCATCTAGTTTTCCTCCTGACAACATTTGTCAGAGAAGGGAATTACTTCACAAATATTTGTCTTTTTTCTCTGCTAGCAATAAAGAGGTTAGAAGGCAGTGCCCAGACAAACATATAGGTAAACGTGCTGAATTGACATGACTCCTGAAAGGGGTCACTCTTGCCCAAGGCCTGCCTTGGACTCTTCCATGAGATTGGCTTCTCTGGGGGGGTCTCTCTGAATATCCACTGCTAATGGAAAGGTCTGTGCCCCTCATTCTGGGGACCTCTTAGATTTGCTGGGAGAGAGCTGAGCTTATGTGGTTTCAATCCCATCCCACTCTTTAGGAAAATGTACCCAGTAGAAGTGTCTTTCATTTATCCAAAAAAGTTCCTTAGAGTATGTGACATTGAGCTCTGATGCTGAGACTCCAATATGCTGCAATGAATGGCTAATTAGGGACACCGAATTAGGAGCCCGTAACCTGGGCTTGAATTGCTACTATGTTGATCACCTTGGGAAAGTACATTCACTAACTGTAAAATGTGGCTAATAATAGTACCTGTCTCTAAAGTTGTTGAAGAATTAATTAAATACTTTAATATACATAAAGACTGGGCCTGAGCCCACAGCCTGGGCTTACAGACCAATTTGGATACAGACCCAAGCTCAACAAACTGTATTGGAAATGAAGCGTCCCTGGGAGCCACCTCCCCAACCCCAGAGGTCTAGATGCCCAGGGTCAGCTGGTGGGACAGTCCTGGTCTCTGAGCTCACCGGTGTGCACCGCACAAAGCTGCCATCAGCCAGGACCAGCTCGTAGGCAGTGCAGATATGTTGGAACAGGCCATACTTGTGGGATGATGATTCGATGCCTGTGCCCATGATCAAACCCCCTGCAGAGACACACATGTTAGCCACGTAGAGTTGCAGGGCAAGTATGGAGAGGACAGGGTAAAAGGAACTTCAGTTGAGCTATGGAAGCTACCAGCATGAAGGAGACATAAGTGAGCTGTCCTGTCTCTGGATCTAGAGAGGAGAGGGTAAGAACTTAAATGTGTTTCGATTTGTGCTTGAGGGCTTGCTCAAAGGAGGGGGATGGTAGGAGACCTCCATCAGGACGCTCATGCCCTTACCTCTGGCCAGACCCAACCTATGAACTCATTTGGAGGGACCTTAATGACAAGGTGGGGGGAAGGTGGTTCAATCTGTGGTGGGAATTGTGTTCTGTGGGAACAGTTTAAAGGAACAAAAAAGGCTTTGTGAACCATGAGTTCCACAAAAGGAATGACAGACTACATTTATTTTGTGTGTTCCTGAGGACAGAACCACAGCAAAGGATACAGGTCACAGGGAAGCAGATTGGAGCCTGAGATGACAAAGTGCTATCTCACAATGTGAGCGACTCAGAGATAGATGGTGGCAGTGGACACCCTCTCTTTGAAGTTGGGCAAGTAGAGACAAGGTAACTTCTATCACAGATGGGATGGGGCGACTCCTGATCTAGACAGGAAGTGGGCCAAGGTGCCTTGATCCCAGGATTGACTAAGTCCTTACCCACTGTGAGGTCATCCAGCTCCGGCAGCACAGGCAGAGTCCAGCCAATAGAGGTCAGCAGGGCAGTTACCTGACCCATGGTCACCAAGGGCTCCACACGGACAATCTGTTGACATAAACAGAGACACCCTGGATCATAGCAGACTTCCGGGTCCAAAAGAGGCTTTTTTGCACAAGCCTTTCTGATGAAGAGGGCAGATAGCCCTCCATGGCCTGTACAGCCCTTTACTAGAACATTCTACTGCTTTTTATTATAGCAAATGGGTCTTCTGGCCTTGGGGTTGCCTAGTGTTTAAACTTACCCTTTCATGTATCTTTACATTTACTTTACTTTCCCTCTAGATTATAGGGGGGAAGATACTCATGTACTTGAAAGAAACAGCATATAATCATCTATTCATCCATACTTTTTTCAGAATTATCAATGTTTAATACCAGAGTATTTACTCTCAGTCTTTTTCCATGCCTATCTGTATAATTATTTTTATGTTTAACACAAATAGCAACGCATGTACATATTTTTCTTGTTTTTTAAAATTTAAAACTTATGATGACTATCACCTCTTGTCATTAAATGTTGGGAAACACAATTTGTAATGGACATATTAATATGCCATCATGTGAACTTGTGCTGCTAGCCAAGATAAAACAACAGGAAACAGGAAAAAACGCAGACAAAATACATAAAACAGGAGTTTTTAACAGAGAGGAGGATATCAGGTAGTGAAATAAATGATCACTGAGAGAGAGGGAGACAGGTAACAAACCAGGTGAGCTCTGTAAATGCGCCAGCTAGCTGCCTGGAGTTAAGGGAGAAAGGGAAGGGAGGTCAGGTACAGCCCAGTGGACTTTGACTTGAGAGCCAGAGGATCAAGGTGATAGAATTGCAGAACAGAGTACTGGAGAGAAGAACATTACACAAAGAGAAAACTCTGATCAGTGCACACACACGAGGTGATTTGCATACCAAGCATGCAAAGAGAAAGGAAAATGTGATCCATAATGAAGAGGAAAATGTTTTGATAAAGCAGGCAGAAAATTATTTCAGGTATTAAAATTAGAAAACAAGGACATAAATCACTATTACTATTTTCCTTATGTTCAAAGAATTGCGTAGAGATTAATTAGATAGTAAAAAAAACAGTATCAAACTTTTAGAAATGAAAACTAACATCTGAAATGAAAAATGTACTGGCTGGGATTGATAGAAAATTAGACCCTGCAGAAGAAAAGAACAGTAAATTAAAAATGAACAGTTTATCAGAGAGCTGATCTGTGGAACAACTTCAGGGGTCTGATGGCAAGACCAGGACAGAACACAGAGGCACCATGTTCTTCCCCATAACTTGCCCTTCACATCTCTTCCATCTGGATATTCTCAAAGGAAAGAAAGGAGGGAGACAGAAAAAAAAATAGTTGAAGAAATAAAGACTGAATTTTCCAAATTTGATCAAAATTTACAATGAAAGCCAAGTACCTGTATTATGAAGAAAACAATCCCGAATCATTTCACAATAAAATTACTCAAAACTAGCATAAAGAGAAAATCTTAAAAGTAGTCAGAGGACAAAAAAGACACATTATATACAGAGGAACAAAGGTAAGATATTTGGAAACCATACTAAGAAGGAGACAGTGCAGCATTTTTAAAGTACTGGAAAAAACTATCAACCTGCAATTCCATACCAAGTGAAAATATTTTTCAAATATGCATACAACACAACCTTTAGGGTGGCTATTATCAAAAAAAAAAAAAAAAAAAGGAAAGAATAAATCCATAGTCACAGAGATTTCAATATCCCTCTTTCAATATAAAGTTCATAAGGAAATAGAAGCCTTGAAAAACACTACCAACCAACTTGACTTAGTTAACATTTATAGAACACACCACTATCAAGCAGCAGAATACACATTTTTAAAAATGCTTGGAACATTTAGCAAGGTAGACCATATTTTGGGTCATAATGTAAATTTCAATACATAGAAAAACAGTCTAATCATACAAAGTATGTTTTCTGACTACAAGTGAATTTTCCAAAATCATGTGTCAAAGTTTGGAAGCTAAAATATTTCTAAGTAACCTGCATGTCAAAGCAGATATCAAAAAGGAAACCAGAAAGTATTTTGAGCTGAATGAAAATAAAAGTTTACACATCAAAATTTGTGGGGTGGCTCTAAAACAGTGTTAATGGGCAAATCTTTAGCACTAAATATCTGTATTAGAAAAATGACTTAAGTCAACTACCTCAGCTTCTTGCTTAAAACACTAGAAAAAGAAGAGTAAAATTAAACCCAAAATAATAAAAGGAAATCACAAATTTCAAAGAAGAAATCAATGAAGTAGAAAACAAAAAATAGGGGGAAGAAAATCAACGAAACCAAAGTTAACTCTTTGAGATCAATATAACTTATTACCATCTAGCCAGACTGATCAGAACAAAAGCAGATAAAATCCCCAACATTGATGAAAGATATGACAGTGCTACAGATGTTCAAAGAACAGTAAGGGAACATGATGAATAACTTTATACAACTTAGAGAAATGGACAAATATGTTTAGATGTAAATTACCAAAACTCACCAAGAAACAAAAAAACCTACAGTGTCCTTCATCTACTTTAAAAATTTTAATCTATAGCTAAAAACTTGCTTTCAAAGAAAACTCCAGGCCTACATTATTTCATTGGTTAATTCCACTAATTACCGAGTAAAGACATTATACATAAACTCATTCAGGAAAATGAGGAATACTGGACAGCTCATTCTTAAGAACTTACAATTATAAAATCATCGTGAGCAAGACAATGCAGTATTGGAATTATGGATGCAAACAGGTCAACAGGATAGAATAGTCCAGAAAAAGACCCATGTGTATGGATGGACAGCTGCTTTTCAAAAAAGATGGACAGGCAGTTCAGTGGGGGTGGGGGGTGGGGGAGGGGAATCATCCTTTCAACAAAAGAGTGGTGAAACAGCACCATGCCAAAATAATTTTGGTGACCCACAGCTCACATCATATGCAAAAATTAAATGAACTACAATCTTAAATGTAAAACCTAAACCTATAATAATTCTAGAAGAAAACATAGGAAAGAACCTTTGTAACAGATTAGGCAAGCTTCCTTACAAAAGACATCAAAAGCACTACTTGTAAAAGAAGAAATTAATAAACTGGATGTCATCAAAATCAAAAACTTCTAGATTTCAAAAGATGATTCAAAGCCTGGGAGGAAATATTTGCAAATCCAACAACTGATGACAGACTTGTTTCTGATATATAAGAAGGAAACAACCCCCCTTCGCCCACAAAATCTTGGCAAAAGATTTATACAGAAGTGCCACCTGAGGTGACATACCAATGGCACCCATGCACAGGAAGAGTCAACCAACCTCTTTCACAGGCCTGAGGCTCTGGAGGACGGCAGTGCAGAGCTGAGCCCTCTGGGATGGGCAGACCGCTGATCCTCACCACCATGTGACTGCCTTTGACCCCCACGCGTCTCCTACACCAGGGGCAGGGCCCGCTCACTCACAGAACCAGAAGCAGCATGCTCTCACCTGCTTCTTGGTGTCCACCTCCAGAATGTCCATCAGGTTGATCATGATGTTCTTGTGTGTCTTCTTGTACTTCCCGACACGCAGTGAGACGGTAAGCCAGCCAGGGCGCCCTGTGCACATGAAGGTCTTGCTGCCCTGCTCCTTCCATTCCCGTACCTGTGACCACAGACAAAGGCTGAGCTCAGAGAACTGCTTTCAGGAGAGGGGGCTGAGACCTCAGCCTTTACTCGTCATAAACATTTATTGAGCTCTGCTTCCTTCCAGGCACTGGCCTTCCCTCTGGAATCTCCCAGGCTATGAGATTGACAGAAAAGTTGAATTGTTGCCACAGTGTAAAGCAGAATGAAGAGCTAGAACACAGGATGAGAGTACTGGGGAAACATTAACCCTAACTGGGATCTTCAGGATAGGATTTGTAATGGTGATAACAGCAATCATATAAATGCTAACCAACCACTGGGTGAGTCCACTGTGCCAGGCACCTGTTGTACACACTCTTATTTAATTCTCACAGTAACCCTAGGAGGTTGGGGTCACCAGTCCCCTTGGCCAGTAAGAAAACTGAGAGGCAGTAAGATAACTGCTCAAGATCACACAATACTGAAGGGCAGAGCCCAGATTCACAGCCTCAGTCACCACTTAAGGAGATGGCTTCCTGAGGATGAAGTCAACTCAGAAGAAAGCAGAGACAGAGATGGCGGATGGAGATGGGCGTGGATCCTTATCAGTCGTGCCTGAACCAGTTTTACTCCTAGATATTTTTTTTAGGACCTGAGTCAATAAAACCCCTTTTGGCTCAAGTTGAGTCTGACTTGAATTTCTATCACTTGCAACCAGGAATCCTAGAGAAGACCACGCTGAGCTGATGAGGCAAACAGGTCAATAAGGGGAAAAACTTTTCTACTTTCAGAGGGCCAACTGCCATGTGAAGTAGAAGAGGGCATTCCTGTGGGTAGCAGGTGAAAGGACAAGAGAATGGATTCTCGGCTCTCCCTGGTGGCTTATCGGGTTAAAGCAAAGCACTGTGAAGCTCTCTGAAGCCACTGCAGCAACCAGTTTGATCCCAGATGAGGGGCCTGACCCACAGAGCACAGCAGACCTTTCCTGACCTTTCCGCTACTCCCCTCAACAGTGTATTTCAGTCAATCTGCCTGTTTTGTTCCCCACTCTGTCTTTGGTGAATCCTCTCACCACAACCCCCCCCCTACAAACCTCTGGCCTGTACTCCAGTTCTGTAAGCATATGTCAATAAATCTTTTAAAAAGAGAGAAAGGAACCTTCCAAACAGGCCCTTATCCCCGCCCCACTCTATAGTCCCAGATATGACGTAAGTTCAGAGGTGTGGGGGATGGATTAGGGTTACCACATTCAAGTTGGATGGTGGGTCCCAGGAAGTTTATGTGGAAGCCATGAAGCCTGCTATATTGGTTGGATCATGATGGGCGTCAACCAAGATTTTGGTTGGGGAGTAAATGTATTAGAAAGTCATCTTTGTGACTTTGTGTCAGCCAAAACGGGAAGGGAAGAACCCAGAAAAAGGGCAACTCACCAGGTAATTATTGCAAAGCAGATGTGAGGCAACAGAACCAAATCAACAAGGCGATGGAAAGGGATGGGGAAGAAATGTCGGCATTCAGACTGAAATCAAGCTGACCTGGGTTCCTACCTATTTAATAGCGCCATCAACTTGGACACATGATTTGCAATGGATTCAAGACCTAGCAGGGCTGCTGTGAGGATTAGAAATAGCCATTAGTGGCACAAGTTGTGGCACATGGAAGGTCCAGGGCCATGGGCTGGTCTGTCGGAGGCCCTTGTCGTCCTGTCCACAGTGAGCCCTTTGGTGCAGCTTAGGCAAATAATTATTCACTGGTTCAGTGGGTCAGAACTGAATCAGACAACAGCACCTGCCTTCAAGGAACCCACACTCTGATGGGGAATACAAGCATGTACAGAAAGAATCTGAAATCATGGAAAGAGCTGGCATGTACAGTTGGGGAGGCAGAGTCTAGAGCTGTGACTGTGACCAGCAAAGCCCAGGGCTGTCAAGAGCAAGGCACTCCCAGACGCTGCACTCTCCCAGCGCCCCCTCCCCCAGGGCTGCACTACCCCCAGGGATGACTCTCAGCATCCATCTTCATGCTCTTTCTTGGAGCACCCACCACGGTGCAAACAGAACATGGAGGCTGCTACACCTGTGGTGAGGGTGGCTGGCAGGAAACAGAATCTCTTTGCAACCTGATGCCTGTCAGCGAGAAGCAGGAGGAGGGGCAGAGGGAGTCAGAGAAAATACCTAAGCTGCCCGTGCCAGCCCTAGACTGGAGAGAGGGCTCTGCTCTGAGCCTCTGAGCCGCGGCACGGGCATGGGTTCTGTGGGGCTGACGCCGGGTTGTGGAGAGTTACTGCGAGGTGGGTCCTTGCCTTGCCCACAGGGAGCAGCCAGCCTGGTGCAGACGCTGGCCGTTACCTTTTCACCTTTCCAAACAGCTCCCTGCAGCTAGACTAAACTCCAAACTCAGTCTCTCCCTCACCCCAGCTCCAAACTGAGTTGCCAACCTTCTCCCCCGCTGGACCTCACACCACACTCTGCACCTGACAAAGCTCCCCCACTCGTTTCCTCTACTTTTCTCTCTAGGTCCAGCTCCACCTCCCGGAAACCCTCCGTCCTCGGCGATCGCCAGGGTCTGGCGGCAGCTACCGCTCACCTTCCCCTCAGCCCGCGATTCTTTATACCCATCCCGACAGCCCACCGGCTCTGCACCCAGCCGGCACTCCACAAACATCCGGGCAATGCTGTGTTCCCTCAACGCTTCTGCTTACTCGGTTCCCTCTCCGGGAAGCCCTCTCCCCATCCCTCCTCCGTTTAGTGCAATCCCCACCAAAGCCACCTCTTCCGTGATCTCGCCGCCCCTCCACCCCCAGCAGTGCGCACCCCTCAGCGCTTCGCGCACCGCTAAGAACGCACACCGCCCGGCGCGCGGCACCCCGCGCGAGCGTGCTCACCTGCTTCTGGATGTCCCGTACGCGCTGCTCGTGCAGCCTCGGGGCGCTGCTCAGCTTGAACACCACCCAGGCGCGCACGTAGTAGTAGATGTCGAAGATGAGCGAGAGCGGCAAGAGGAAGAGGCACACGAACACCCACCGTTGGTGGATGAGCACGAACTCCAGCCCCTTCACGCGGACCCAGAGCAAGAAGAGCAGCGCGCACACCGCTAGCGACACGGCGGGCTCCATGGTGGAGCCAGCGGCGCGCCGCGCTGGGGAGGGGGTGCCGGCTCACGCC